TAAGACATTGCACGACATGCTAGGTTTCGGAAAACCTATGTTTATCATTATATATATGTGTTTTCATAAAACCTGGGGGTTAGTATGTTGATAACTGTTTTATTATATATATATCAACTTGGTCTACTCATGTTTGTTTTGCGCCCCCTTCAGGACTTAGAATCAAGGCATACAATCCCGACGTCCAGGCACTTCCGCATCGGCACCTTCGAGTCCTCTCGGTGTAGGACCCATTCCTTCGTTTCATTCAATTTTATATTATTTTCTTTTAGTGTTCTAGATTAGAAGTGTGCTCTGAATACGGTCCTTATTTGCATATTCATTATTCTTTTATATTTATAAACCTTATTTACCCCTTGTTTTCAGCATTTGCACTCAATAAATGGCTTTCGTCACCCTCGGGTGTCGGCCAGCATGTGCCTATCCTGGTATTCGGGGAATATCGGGGTCGGGGCGTGTCATGACACCTTTTGAAGCACTTTATGGGAATGCGTGTCGAACGTTGTTATGTTGGACAAAAGTCGATGAAAGGGTGTTAGTGGGACTAGAAATTGTTAACACCATAAATGCTAACATCCAGCTAATTAAGAAAACTTGAAGGCAGCACATGATCGACATAAGAGTATTACAGATCGCCATTCCAGGGATCGAGAGTATAAGGTTGGTGACTTTATTTTCCTGAAGTTGTCTCCCTGAAAGGGCGTAGTTCGATTCGGTAAGCGAGGAAAGTTGAGTCCTTGATACGTCAGTCCCTACCTGATTACAGAGAGGATTGGTGCAGTTGCTTATAGGTTGGAGCTACCACCAGAATTGTCACAGATTCACAACATTTTCCATGTTTCCATGCTTTGGAAATACTTGCCAAATCCCTCTCATGTCATTCAGCCGGAAGCACTAGAAGTGAATCAAGATGCAAGCTATGTGAAAAAAACCAATGGCTATCATTGACTGACAGGATAAAGTACTGAGGCACAAAGTTATCCCATTGGTGAAAGTAGTGTGGAGAAACCATGCCGTCGAGGAAGCGACATGGGAAACGGAGGAGTTGATGAGGAACCGAAATCCATTTTTATTTGGTTGAGTTGTAATTTCGGGGACGTAATTTTTATAAAGAGGTAGATAGTGAAACCCCACCCCCATTATTAATTTGTAATTTCATTTTGTCCCTGCAAGTTTATAAAAATGTGTAGTTTGGTCCTCTATCCTAATTTAATCCGGACCCTCAATCTAGATTTCCCTTCTCCCCCACGCTGCCACATGGCACCACCCTAACTCATCCCATATCTCTCTCTCTTTCCCTAAGCTCTCTCTCGGGTCTCCCATTCTCTCAGCCCTCAACTTTTAGTCTCTTTCCGGATCACACCCACCACCCCGACAACGGCGCAGCTCCACCACTACCTCCGAGTACCTTTCTTATATCTCGCTCGTTTCTGTGAAGTTAAGAAGCCCAGATATCCAGCAGAAACCCTAGGTGCACCTGTGAGTCTCGAGGTAAAATCCAACCACTTCCCGCCCACCACTTGTCGTGAAACAGGTACCAACTCCTTCCTCTCACCTCCACCTTTATTTTAGCACCTAGATCAGAGCCTAGGGTGTTTAGTCGCCGTCAACTGGAGTTAGGAAAGCTCCGACGTTCGTTTTCGGTTGAAACCAGGCCTTTTGAGCCGTGCCAAAACTTGGGCCTTAGGTCTGTTACCCCTTAAGTCCAACCCAAAATCATTTTATTAATTTCTTTTAAGCCGTGCCAAAACTCGGGCCTCAGGCCTTCAGCCCAAGGCTTGTTAAGATAAAACCCAAACCCTTTTTCTTGTAGGCTTTCAGGCCGTTTATACCATGGGCCCTCAGCCTTAGGGTCGGACCCTAAGCCCATTCCCTAAAGCTAAACCCAGCCCACCTAAAACCCTAAGCCCAACCAAGCTAACCCACTAAGCCCTAACCGGCCCAACCCAAACCCTTGACCTGGTCCAATCCTAAACCGGTTTGACCCGGTTAACTTTGACCCTGGTTGACCCGACCCGTTGACCTTGACCCGATCAATGCTGACCGCTGACCATTGATCGTTGATGTTGATCGGTCAATGTTGACCGTTGACTTTTTGAGTTTCTTCCGGAACCCCTCCTAAGCTAATTTCGACGTCCTGGACCCGTTTATTACGTCCGTTTCTCCAAATTAAATCGTTTGAGTATAGTTTTGTTAATTGTACTTTTTATGTGCTTAGGTGCAATTTCTAGCGGCGATTCCGTTATTCCTATTTCGTACGGCTCATCTACGACGGAGTATCTGTGAGTGAGCCCTTTCTAAAATGCATGTTTTAATAGTAGAAATGCATACATGAAAAGCATGATTTAATGAATACATTTTGTGAACGTTTTATGAAAATTGATTATCATGCTATACTGAGCTTATTTTGGAATACCATATTTTGTATCGAACCCATGTTCTTTGTAGGATATCTGATGGATGATGATATACTATTTAGAATATGTTTTTACACACTTCTTTATAGTATAGATGATGGATGACTTTAAACTATGAAGATGTTTTTTCAGATATATGTACCTATGTTTGGAAAGATTATGTTCAATGATTTTGTGCATATCTAGTGGTCACTGTTTTGCCTCAGGGCGATGATACTTATATTGCCTTCAGACAAGCATGTGTAGGGCATTGTTCTGTGCATATGGAAGATGATACTTATATTGCCTTTAGGCGGGCGTGTGTAGGGCACTGTTCTGTGCAGAAGAGAAATACTGATACTGATACCACTAGCTAGCACACTATATACAAGATACGTTTTATGAATATTTTATGGCATGCTAAGGTTTTCGGAAAACCTACCACTTACTATGCTATTAGTTTTCATAAAACTTTGGGGGTTAGTATGTTGATAACTGTTTTATTTATATATATATATATATATATAACTGTTTTATTTTATATATATATATATATATATATACATATCAACTTGGTCCACTCATGTTTGTTTTGCGCCCCCTCAGGACATAGAAACGAGGACTACGATCCGACGTACGAGGCATTCCCATACCAGTGACATCGTGCTATCTCCTCTGCTTGACCACTCTGGTAATAACACATTCCGTTGTAATCTGATTTAGAATATGCTCTGAACATGCCATGCATTATCTTTGTGAATTCGTTGTTGGCAGTTGAATATTATTTATATCACATTCTATTATCTTGCTACAATTTAGGTGCATGTTCTCAGCATTTGCATTCATAATGGTTTGCGTCACCTTCGAGTGTCGGCCAGCACGTGACCATCCCCATGTTCGTGGGCCATCGGGATTGGGACGTGTCAAATAATGTAGTTCAAATTCGCAATAATTGAACCTAAGACCTCTTACTTACAAGTGAAGAGGAATACTACTAAATCATAGTACTAAGTGGCAAAACAAACAAATTGATAATTAAATAAATAAAACAACATATTACTAAAGTGTTCCCATGTTTCCTTTGCTTTGTGTACTGCTCTTTTTGGGAGAGATTTTTCAAAGTACAGGTATTCAAACGATTCTTCATATGTTATAATATAAGCGAAGAAAATAAAATGAAATTTGTGGTTATTTATATTAATGAGATTTAAAATAAAACTTCATAATTTATGAGATTAAAAATATTAAAGATAAATTATACTCTCCAATATATTGTGTGTGTATACGCACGCGCGCGCGCACACACACACACACACACATGGGTACGTTCATAAAAAACTAACCAAAAAATTATTATACCAAACCATGTGTTCATTTTTCAAAAACACAACAAAAAAAAGTATTAGGCTTAATAATATTATTAAATTTCTTCTATTAAACTTGACATAGATACATTCTCAAATCAACGAAATAGAATGTACCCATATAAGTTTAAAAATGGATTACATAAAAGATTGAATGAATTTTATATAAAAAAAGGGGTACATTTTATATTAAAAAAAGAGTACATTTTTCATATAACATATTGATATATTTAAGAATGGGTACATATCAATTTTCTATAAAAATTTAATGGGTACAAGCTTATTCTAATTTTATTTTTTATATTTTGGAAATGTTTGAATTGAAAATTAATTAGGAGTTTAATAAGGGTATGAGTATTAAAATTCTAAATCAATTATTAATTTTTATTATGAAAATTATGTAACTTACATGTATTCATTAATATATTAATGATAGAGATTTTGATCAAAATCTAAAAACTAATAAGATTTTAATCAATGAACATTAGAAACTAAAGATCGAATACTAATTTTTCCTTTAGATAAACCAGTCAAAATCATTGCCGACATAAAAATACCACACAAAGTGAAAAAAAAAATTAAGTATTTAGGTTGAGCCTTATTCACCAAGAAAAAAAAAACCTTAAGGACATTATTCGGCAAAAATGCAAAAGACTCGATGACATTAAACGCCGAAATAGTGTCTTGAAGTAGACGTTCTTAGAATTTGGCTGATGATAACCACTACTTGCTTGCTCCAGTAAATTACGACAAAAATGCGCATGGAGGGACACTCGGACAATTAAGTTTTGGTTTTAGTGTCGTTATCGTCCCGTAAAAACTTGTCATGTGTTTAAAAAATGCACTTTCTATTCAATGAACAAATGACACATATTGACATGTGATGATCTCTCGTACCACTGACCTCGGTTTCACAATTTTTCCAACTTGGACATCAATGCCGACCCTCCGGATGTCCACGAGTAACAGTTCCATCAACATTTGCTTGTCCGAGTCCAATTGTCCCACTTAAGCTTAAACCACCAAAATTGTCCCACTTAAAATAACAGTTCCATCAATATTTGCTTAGTCAGATTACACAAAGCTTAAACCACCAAAATTGTCCCACTTAAAAAAACAAAAGAGAACATCTAGAGAAAACAACTCTTAAAGAACTCATTAGCATATTTCTCCCATTTCGATTACAAATTAATAAACGAGCCGTTAATGTTTTCTTGTGCGACCTCCGACAACAAAGTATTGAGGCTTTTTTATTCCAGTCCATTCGATGCATTCTCTTTCTCCTTCCAGATAATTCCGCATACACAAGAAATATACCAAAAGATAAATCAGCCGAGTAGCAGCAATCCTAGCACAGTACATGAAATTGATTTGTCTTACAAGCCAAATATCCAACATCTATTATTATTATTGTACATCTTTAAGTTGACAGAAGAGAGGGAGCATGCTTGTTCTAAATCTTATTTGATTTGGAAGTGCTTGTGAGTGGACTGAGTCCTTGTACCAACATTGCGGCTTGAGCCTTCCACAGCATGAGACTCGGCTGGATTCTTCCTTCGTCGTTCATTGTGTCCTGACAAACGCCTACGACAACTCCGTTTGGTGTCGTCAAACTCTGATAGCTCATGAAATCTGCAACACAACAACAACATTCTGCATCAGGATGCTTGTTTATTTATTATCTATGCAATGAGATCCAAGTCTTCGTCGATCGAGCAATTTTTGTTTACTTTTAGAGTAGCAATACATATCATCAAATTGAGGAATCTTCACCTACTGCTATACAAAACATGTTATATAGAAATAGATGAAGCATAAACTTGTACCAGCAAACCGCTCTGACGGTATTCTTGCTAGATATATACTTAAATGATTCAGCCTCATTACTAATTGGAAAGAGTAAATTAAGAACGTACATTCACAGAACCATACAACTTTGTATTGTGAACTTAATATTGTCAGCGATCGATATAAGAAAACGAAGAAATGTAAATTAAAGAGCAGCAATGTACATGATCAACCCCACACACACACACATATAGAAGAAACCAGTAACTACAAATTATGCAATTTCTGCAAAATCAATATATAAACTCAGAGAATAAAAATGAAAATTGCAATACCTGCTGCATTGCTGGCAAAACCTTTGGTGGAGGCCAGCGACAAGCACAACCTGAGACTTGGAATGAAGGTCACAAACCTTATGCTTTCTGTGATATTTCTTTTCATCACTCAGATCAGCTGTGCACCTGTCTGCCTGACACCGTCTCATTGCACCTCCTCCTCCTCCTCCTGATGATGACGACGACGATCTCTTACCTTTCTTCTTCCTGTCCACTTGCAGCTCATCATCAAATTCCTCCTCCTCCTTCTTCACCATCACCACCACATGCGGCTTCTCCTTCATCTGCTTGTCCGAGTCCAATTTACTCATCCCCTCCATCAATGGATTGACCCCAGTATTATTATTTGGTTTGGTTTGGTTTGGGAGTTGGGATGTGGTGCAACGAGGGGAGGGGGAAGGAAGGAGAAGCGTAATAAGTAGAAGTGATGAAGGGGCAGGAGGAGTGGGAGAGTGAGTGAGTGAGTGAGGACCACATCAATCTCCTCCATAATTCATTTTTCTGAGGAGTTTTGTTTGCGTCTTGTCGTTGTTTAGCAGCTTCTACTTGTACAACAATAATGCGTAGCATAGGGCATAGCATAGGCCATAGGGGTCAGAGACTCCAGAGGGGAAGGGGTAATACCGAAGAAAAGTTAAAAATAAGCAAACCCAAAGGATTTGGGTTTCAATCTTCCATGTCTACAAATCAAAGCATGCCAACTATGCAGACTTTTTTTTAAACAAAGCCCTTAGCCACTTAATAGCACTCCAATATAAAATTTCGAAAGGTTGTTTAACCTATTCAGAATGGGACACTTAAACCTCTATAAATAGAGAACGAATTTTGATGTTTTTACTAACGTAACTACATACAAATGTTCAAGGAAAAGCACCACAAATATCTCTACATTTTCATTGAAAACCAAAGCACCAAAAAATTCTTCATGATTTAATAAAAACAAAAATAAAAATAAAAATTAATAAGAATTGGTGAGAATTAACATGAAATAGAAATCAAAATCATCATCCATCCATCAAAAAGAGCTTGTGCCTTTAAGGGTTTTAGACAATAAAACGTAGGAGAAAGATAGGGTTTTAATTATTTGGTATAAGTTTACTGGTAAATTTTAGTTTATTTTTGTACTTACTAGTAATTATATAAAGGGCGGATTCGTGACACCACTTTTTTTTACACAATTTTTTACGCACGTTTTTGTGGACCCACTTCGTAATGTATTTCATCAATCTGAACTGTCTTATCTTTTAGGTCCCTCAAAGATCATGTCTACCAAAAATCACCCAAATATGAATCCATATGATTGTTGAATTAAGAGTTTAGGCTTTTTTTTTTATTTTTTAAGAACCGCATTCGTCCATTTTTTTCACTACAAATGAATTTCTTAATGGTTTTGGATTTGTATAATTTTTTGCAAGGATAATACATGAATGGTATCCATATGATTGTTGGATTAAGAGTTGGTTTTTTTTTTTTTTTTTTTTTTGGTTTTTGTAAAACTGTATTCGTCAATTTTCTCTCACTTTAAATGAATGTCTTAATGATTTTGAATTTATACATTTTTTTTGGATTAAGAGTTGGTTTTTTTTTTTTTTTTTTATTTGTAAAACTGTATTCGTCAATTTTCTCTCACTATAAATGAATGTCTTAATGATTTTGAATTTATACATTTTTTTGCAAGGATAATATATGAATGATATCCATATAACTGTTGAATTAAGAGTTTAGAGTTTTTTTTTTTTTTTTTTTTTGTAGAACTGTATTCGTTTAATGATTTTGGATTTGTACTATTTTTTTGCAAGGATGATATATGAATGATGTTGTAAAAGATAGATGATTCAGATCGTTAAAATATATTATGAAGGGAGCCCACAAAAACATGTGTGAAAAATTATGTAAAAAAAGTGGTGCCATAGATCCGTCACCATTATACAATAAAGTAAAAAAAAAAAAAAAGGTAATGTTAGAGAGACCAAAATTTTAAATTAAATGATGTGTCACCAATAAGAAACAAGCATGATAATTAACACTTAGTTAATAATCCATTCATCAACAACTACATCATTTGGTTTGCAAACTTGGTTTAAAAAATTTGATCTTCCTAGTATTATAAAAAATAATTCACATTTAAATTTTAAGCTGGAGTGTATAGCGAGGTTATATTGGTTCAACTCAACTTTTCCAAAGAAACGTTACAAATTACAAACCCTTCCTTCCAAATTCAAAAACACATTTCCGCGCTTCTTTTTCATTCTCTGAATGCGAATGAATGATATCTCACTCAGCTTCGCTCTTCCTAATTTCCAATTCACGTTTCTTCTCATCTCATCTGTCGTTTTGTGTACATAAGAAACACAGCAGAGGCCATGGACTCCGACACCACTCCTCTCCACGACCCTCTCTTGCCCTGGCTCTGGTACTCTCTCTCTCTCTCTCTCTCCTCTCTCTCTCTCGCTCTCTTACCCTTCAATCTCTTCAAATTGTTACTGAAATTAGTTACCGAACCAGGTCCGTGAAGCAAGCCCTAGAAGATTTTCACTCCGGAAAGGATTACGGGTCGGATCTCACTAAGCTTCTATCCGACTGCATCGCCGCATTCAGGACAATGCTCAATACAGGGGCGACATCAGATTTCTCAAGATTTGGTTCCTCTATGTATGTATTAATACACTCCCTCTCTAATTTCTGACTTTTTTCATACATTTTGCTTGAGTATTTTTTATGGGTCAATTTATTTTTATTACTTTCAATTTTGGTTTTTGTTTAGCTGCTTTGATTATGCTAATAAATATCAAATTTGGTACATTTTTTGGGTTAAAATTTTGAGGAGGTTGTTTAGTTTGTTTGTCAATGTGATTGATATGGAACATTTAATTACTTGTCTATGTGGATTTGCAGATGGATACCAGTGAAGATTTCGAAGGCATTTTTCTCGAAATGTTGCACAGGGAGATTTGTGTTGGCCACTCCTTGCTTTATGTCTGGTACGCAACCTTTCTCGAAGCCAAAGAGAAATTGTACGATGCACACATGGTTTATCAGATGGGTATTTCAAGGTCCGCCTCTGTCTCCCAACAGGATTTTGCGTGCGCGTGCGTGCGTCCCAAAATGGAGGTCTGCAGTTTTGTTGTTGAATATAATTATGCTTATGATGTTTCATGTTGTGGTAGGAATGCTAAGCCAGTTGAGTGGGTGGAGAAGGCGCATGCCTTATTTCTTGCTCGGATGTATAGAATAGCTTCTTCAGCTCAGAAGGTAAGTGAACCTTGTTTCATGTACGTGTAGGCAATTGATATGTTTTACCTTCTCTTCTTCATTGCTCTATATTTTTTTACAACTATTGCTTTAAGTGTTTTGAATAGTTGCAAAGTAAATATGTTGTTGGATGTACAAAAATTGATCAGTTTGCATTTCCTTCGTGCAGATTGGAAACGATGAAGCAGTTCCTCTTGGGAGCCTCATTAACCCATGGTCCAGCTCCACCATGAAAGACCTTTTGAAGAAAGTTAATCATCAACTTACAAAATATGATGTGAGATACTTTCTTCCTCATCAAGTCATCATTGGATAATCTCTAATGTTGTTGGATTAAGAGTTATTTTTTGGATTTTGCACATATGACTCAGGGATACCATTCTATTACTAAAGCTTACTCGGGAAAAGTGGCCTTGTCTTCTCTCAAGAACTCGTCCAGGAACAAAACTATTGAGATAGGTGATTCACATTACTGGTTCATTTTCTTTTCTATGTCACAATATATGAGTTTAGACGTAAATTTTTACTTCTGAGTTCTAACTTCTTAGCTAAGTAAGATGGTTTTTAACTTTTCTTACGAAGTAGTCCATGAATGCTAGGCTTCTAAACAAAAAAACTCATAAGTATCTTGTGCTGAAACCCACTAATGCTTGGTTGAACTTGGATTTAGAAGAAGACATTTCTCAACATATGAGATTTTAGAGAAGGATAGACATTTAGTCTTTTCTACTGTCTGTTTGCATTTTGCCTTCGATGTATAAGAAAGACGTTTATTCTCATTTTTCAATCTCATCAAGCACACATCCTTGAGTATCCGGTTATCAGATAGAAATGATGTTGGAGGATATGTTATCATCTCTACGTTAGGGACCTGTGACTGTTATGGTTTTTGCCAATACCAACAAGCAGTTCTATTTATACGCAACGCAACCTCAGTTAGCTGTAATCTCAACTGTTTGGAGTTTGCTTCATGGACCCTTACGGGAAATGCAGTTCACATCCTGATCAAAAGTCTTCTCTCGAAGTTGTAATGCATCACTCATTTCTCTTTTATTTTAATTTTAATTATTTATATTCTCTATTTCACTCAAGAATTGGACTGTTACCAACTTCACCACTAGGTGTTACCACCTGAGCTAGGGCTGAGGGAGCTAGAATCTTCTTGGATATTCAGAACATTTAGTTCAATCAAATTAATTGAGTGTTTCGGTTTTTCAAATATTCTTCCATTTTATCTATTGATGCACCATTTGAAGGTAGAAGATTAACGTATTATGTTCATTACCCATATCGTGGTACTCATAGGTCGTACGAAGTACCAGATCACTGGTTGTGCAGGCCAGGGTGGCTTTGCTCAAGTATATAAAGCATATGTCAACTGTAATCCTGAAGATGTTGTTGCATTGAAGGTAAAATCTACCAGACTTCTTACTCTCCTAATGATGACCAGTGTATAACCAGATAATTTCAGTTTTGGAAATATGTGGCAGATACAAAAGCCTGCTTTCCCTTGGGAGTTCTATATGTATCGTCAACTTGATCAACGGATCTCAGACAAGGAAGTAAGCATTTTCTGATCCTCCAAGTTTTTTATTGGTAGTTGTTGGTTCTGTTTATTTTATAATTGATATGTTATTGTATCAGAGGTCAAGCTTTGGGTTTGCTCATAGAATGCATCTCTATCCCGACTGTAGCATTCTCGTCTCCGACTATCTTTCTAGTGGAACACTTCAGGTTAGTTAAACATACATCATACCAATTTTCATGTCTGCCATACTCTTGTCATGCTTATTGTAACCTAAAGATCTTGTGCAGGATGCAATAAATTCATATGCCTTCAAAGGCAAGTCCATGGAAGAAGTGTTATGCATTTATTACACCATAGAAATGCTCTACATGCTAGAAACTCTGCATGGTGTTGGCATCATTCATGGAGATTTCAAGCCTGATAATTTGCTTATTCGTTATGCTAGGTAACAAACATTCTCCCTTGTAGATCTTGAGCATTACGACAGCAGACTGGTACTTGAACATACAGAAAACTGGACCTTACTAATTATATTTTACTCACAATCTGATTTTCATCTCCCTTTGTTTGTCCCCTCGTAGAGGTCATTACTTACTAGTAACATTGTTTGTCATTCTTTCTTTTTCTAGTCTTATTCTTACTGCATACTCTGGTGATAGGACATGTTTTTAGCTTAAGTTTCTATTAGTTAACCTATGCCTTGCGTGGGAGACAGTTTCTTATCTTCAATAGTAACGTGGGACAATTTTATTTCTAGGTAGAACTGCTAGCTCATACGTGCAACTTATTTTAAGAAGTCTAATACAGAGAGGAAAAAAAATCCAATTTTCATTTAACAGCTTGATTGTGTGTTATGAAGCTTACCCATTTGCATCATCAATTAAATTACCATTGGGCAGGAATGGCCTTACAAAAGCCGGATCTCGTGACAGAACTGACTTTACAGAAGAAGAATTTCGTGAGAGAAGTGGTCCGTGGCTTGATCAGGTTATTTCTGGTTGCAAAAGACTAGTATCAGATTGAAGACTAGTATTCAGCTTAGTTTTTATGATTAATCTGGGGTTATCTTACAGGGTCTATGCCTTGTCGACTGGGGAAGAGGGATAGACCTGCATCTCTTTCCTGACAATGTGGAGTTTACGGGAGATTGCCGGACTTCTGGATTTCGTTGTGTGGAAATGCAAGAGAATAGGCCATGGACATATCAAGTATAGTCCACGTTTTTTTTTCTATTCTAAATTCAGTCAACATTTTCTTATATCTAATTTGTGTAACTTCTTGTTACCAGGTAGACACGTACGGACTCTGTGTTGTTGTCCATACGATGCTGCATAATTCTTACATGGAAATTGACAAGAAACCATCACCCGAAGGTGGTCACTTCTATCTGCCCAAGTCATCTTTTAAAAGGTACCATTCTCTCAGTCCTGCATACATGACCACTTGTCCATCTTATCGATTTTTGTTTCTCTCCAAAACTTGATCTTTACTTTAGCAAAGGTTGCCTAAAAATGAGAAAGTCTTGCATTGGGTCGTAACATGAGCAATGCGAACGCAAACACATCTCTTCCATCTCTTATCTCTACTTTCCCTCTTTAGTTTACGTTTTGACGATTTTGATTTCAATTCTTGTCGTTCAAATGAGCTCAGATACTGGAATGTTGAACTCTGGAGGAACTTCTTTAAGAAACTGCTTAATAGTAGCCCCGGCTGTAACCACAAGAAGCTGTTGCAGGATCTGAGGGAGTCCTTCCAGGATTACTTGTGCTCGGAGCCTCAGCTTATAAGGAAACTAAGCGATTTGCTGGTCAAGCAAAGGGCCTCACTGTGTTCTGCTTAATTACCCAATCGTTCCTCCTGGCTGAGCTCATCTCAGGGAGCATCTGTTAATTTAACTCCCAAACTTTGTCGGACGATTCAGGAGATGTATGTTGTCTCAAAGGAATGCGCTTGTTGTACATGTGTTTACCAGATTATGGAATGAAAAATTATCTCCAAATATTTTGCAAGCGCCATACGATTTTGTCCAGGGAAACAAACTAACAAATCGTAAAAGCAAACAGAAACAAAAGACACCAATAACTCGAAACCCTAATGCCAACGCTAAAATGCAACAAGAAGGAAAAACAAGGCTGCGGAAAATTACATAAAGCAATGACTAATTAAAGCAACCTGCGCAGCGACAATTAGGGGTGGAAAAAATTCCCGAAAATCCCAAACCGAACCGAAAAAATTCCGATCCCAAATCAAAAATTTCTCAAATCGAAATTCCCGAAATTTTCGGGATGCTATCCCGAACCAATCCCAAAATTTCGGTATGGGATTCGGGATTGACTTCTCGATATTTTGGGAATCCCATACCAAACCGAAAATATATAATATTAATTATTATATATATTTATACATATATATATATTATTCTTTTATAATTGATGCTAGTAGTTTCTAATTCATGCTCAGCAACCTAAAATGCCCTACACCTTGCATATTTTTCTTGTTCTGTTTGATATTCATGTGGATTTTATTATTGCTGCTGCCATGGCTGATGATTTCAGAAGGCTTGATTCTTTTGTCTCTCAATAGATTGCAAAAAGAGTTTAATTAATTTGAATTTTGACTATGATAAAAAGAGTCAAGCATGCCAGTGTTCAATTAAATGGTAGTGTGAATGAAATGAAATTCCTAGTTCATAAATGTGTTCTTGAATTATATATTTGAAGAACAATTCATAATTTCATATTTCAATTTGGGATTCCCGATTTGTCCCAAAATCCCGAAAATATTTCGGGATTCCCGAAATTTAGGATTTCCGAAAATTTGGTTTGAGATTGGTCTTCAAATTCCCGTCCCGAAATATTTCGATTTGAGATTCGGGATACTAGTTTCGGTATGGTATTTCATACCGAACCACCCCTAGCGACAATCTAGTTAATGAAAAAAAAAAAACCAAAGGAAACCGTTAGGTTGTTTCACCGAAAACTTCCAGATTAACTATACAAGTTTCTCGACTCCATTGGAACTTCATTGAACAACTTTTACATGATCCAGTATTAATTTACAATATCAAACTGTATGAAATGGACTTGTCCCCTTATTCTTGGTTCTAGACCAATTGACATTCTTAATTTTATGATGATTATTACTAATTTAATTCATGTATAGGTAGGAGCTGCCGCACTAGGAGGCGAAGACAGAGGCGTTGCTGCTGGCACTGCAGCAATGCTTGGGGCGGAAGCAGATGCACCACCACTGTCACAAGGATATTCGAAGCAATCAACGGGATGCTCGAGTATGGCATTACATTCTTTCTGGGTCCTCTGGTAAGGTTTCTCGGGGAAACAGTTACGGCGTTCATCAAAGGCAATGCCTTTCGATGTCAAATTCTGGCAGGTCCCCTCTTCCTCGCAGAAATAGTTGTAAGAGAATGTGAAATTCGCCAAGTTTGGCAGACAACAAACTCCAGCGGGTACAATCCCGGTCAGCTTATTGTGGGCCAAATTTAGTTGCTCCAAATGAGATAGCCCCGCCAAGCTGTAAGGTATAGGACCAACAAGCTTGTTGGAGCTCACATCCAACACCCTCAGTTTGTACAGAAACCCAACTTCTTGGGGCAAACACCCTGACAAACTTGTGTTAATTAACAGCAGTTCCTCCAGAGTATTTGCGAAATTGACTATGCTTGGGGGAAGGCACCCGCCAAAGTTGTTATTAGCAAACACCACTACACTGGCTGAGCTTCCACCCAATGTCGCTGGAATGACACTGGTTAAGCGGTTGTTATTAACAAATATGGCATCGAGTTTTTTACTGAAAAGTTCTGGAGGTAATGGCCCTTCAAACTCGTTGTACCGAAGATCAAGATAACCTAAGGTAGGAAGAGAGAGGACAACTGTTGGGAAAGGGCCTACAAATCTGTTGTTACTAAGATCAAGCTCGAAAAGGAGCGTAAGGTTGGCCATACTTTGAGGGAGGATGCCACAAAAGCGGTTGCTATTTAGATGGATAAGTGCAAGATCCGACAACAGGCCAAATTCCTCAGGGAGAAATCCGGCGATGTCCCTATGGTTAAGGTCGATGCCAGAAACAACTTGGATATTTGGGTCATCAAGAGCTGGTGAACAATACACACCCATGTAGTTACAAACCGAAGGACCAACCCAATTGGTTGTGATGTTGTATGGATCAGAGTAAATTACGTGCTTCCATGCTTGGAGAGCAAGAAAAGCTCGGTAGAGTCTTGGGTTTGAATCATCGGATGCTGCAGCAGGATGTGGATGGTTGTGGTGCCCGCGGTGGCTATGACGGTGATGAGAGACATAGACGTGGCTGCTGCTGCGCTTTGCAGCAGCAGCCAGACTGAGATTGCTGAACAGACAAGATAGAACTAGAAGGAAAGTTAGGAGCAATGAAAATACATGGCAGGCAATGGAAGAAAGTGAAAAGGAAGACATTCTTCACTCTATCCACACACCTCGGTGAGTTGGTTTGAGATCGATATGGTAGAGACTTGTAGAAGTAGTAAAGAGCTTCTGTTTATATATACCTTCGGAGCTCTCCCTCCCCGCTTCCATTCAATTCAAGTAATAAGTAGCACGCGCTAGACATAATATCCTAGTCTCATGTTTAATCATGTTCGTGTACATGTGACTCAATGTAGACAGATCGAACTGCTTCACAGACAAGATGATAACACAGAAAGAAAATGTTACATGGTATAGACATACAAGTTACAGCGACAGTTAACCATTACAATTGGCCCGAAAGATAAAGATGAATGTTTTTGTGTTTGACATATGAAAATATGATGGCAACACAGTTTGACAAAGTGGTGTTTTATAAAATATAATGGCTGTAGGTAGAATAATTGATAAGGATTAAGGACCTAACTCCTCCTTCCTTCCATGTAACTTTCACAGTTGTTTCAAGTGGAGCTGGAGAAAGACAGCCTCAAACTCCCCCAAGACCTGGAGAGGGTGGATTTCTTCAAGCTCAAGGAAATGTTGTTGTAATCGAAGTGCGACCGCATCAAGTAGTTCAAGATATGAAGATCATACGTCCCTGTCTTCCTTGAATGTTTGTCTGCCTAAAAATGTATAGAGAGAGAGAGAGAGAGAGAGAGAGAGAGCAAGTCTTCAAATTAAAGCATTGAATCTTAAGTCTGCACTGCATTATAGAAAACCAGCCATCTGTTAAGGTTGTCTAACCATAATTTGTTATATAGCTGGGCAGGAATTTCTAATATTAGCAATAAAAACCAAGACCCTTTTGATAAGCACAGTACGGTTCTCCTAGAATCCATGGTCCAAGAAAATTATGGTCGCTCATTATTCAATCTTAATCCAACGGTAAATGATCATTTAACTTTTGTTGTAGTTGTACTTTCTCCTCCATCATTACGTTAAGATCGAAAGGTGGGGGACCCTCAGTCTCTTAAATCGTAGGGTCTAGGAGAATGGTACTCTTGATAAGCATTTTGTTGTTCATTTTTTTTGTGCTTGGAGAATGTACGGAATAAAAGAGAAATGAGGGATTAAGAAAGGTGACTGGGTACAGGTAAAATAAATAAAGAATGAATGAAAACAAAATCTTAAAAGAGAGAACAACTTCAAATAGTTTTTTGTTTTTAAATTTCTCTGTCTATCATTATATATACATTTTTTTTTACATCTCTCTCACGGTCTTTCCTTCACTCCTCTTCATTCCTCTTTCCCACCATATAATTTTCTTATATCAATTTCCAAACATCTCTCAAATAAAGGTAGGACCAACCAGAGGGGGCGTTGAGGGTGCAAAAGGTGCAGTTGCACAGGGTTCCAAATTTGAAAGGGCCCCCAAAATTTTTGTCACCTAAGATTTATATGTAATAATATTCTATATTTAAAATTGCTTTTGTTATGAAATAATGTTCTATGTTCAACAATTGATTTTGTTAGCACGTTAAAATTTCATCTTACACTCCTTATAAGAGTAATTTTTCTTTTTTCTAAATACAAAAATTTAGAGTACAATAAGATATTTTGAGTACCAATAATACATCATAAAAGACGGTATTTTTTCAATATTATTATATAATAATGTTACATATTGAAGTGAAACTTTAAAGTTAGAGTTTTTGAAGTTTGTTTTCTTCTTTGGTTGTTTAAGATTGAACTGCTTTTGATTATTTAGTGAATATTATGTTTGTAGCTCTTTTTACTTATTATTAATGATATTTTTAAATTTGCAATCAGTGAATGCTAAATTTTGTTTTGATTTAAGTGATTGTTTTCTAACGTCAATACATTGTCCTACATTTTTTAAGACTTATCTTAAGGAGGGGCGCTTTTATAAATTTCGCACAGGACCCTCAAAATCTCAGAGACGGCCCTGGGACCAACCAACATTTTATGGACTACATGTGAATTATATCTCTGATAGAAATAAGGTCACCACTATAAGTAAGTCCCACCTCTATTACAGAGGTGCTTTACATGTAATTTACAAAATCTCTCCTTAGCATTTTCCAATCTGAAAACCAAAAACCAGAAAATTATCAATCGGCCCTTGGGTTTTAGGATTTAAGGCCATTCACCTAACATTCACCTCTTAAAAATCATTCACCTCCAAATATCTTAAGATTCTTTCGATGAAAATACTGCTCATTTGGATATGCTTTTAAAATGATTGAAAGTGCTTTTAGAGAAAATGTTTTATTAGTTCCAAAAGCGCTTAAAGTGATTTCTGCAAGAAGCACTAGTTATGTGCTTATTCCAGGATGCACTTTAAGTGCTTTTTTCAGAATTTACTTGCATTTTTACTAAGAATTGATTAAAAAAGTATTTTCACCAAAAAACACATCCAAATGAGCTCGTAATGTTGTTGCACCAACTGCTAACTACCTGGGCAATAGCCTACTAGCTTGAATGAGTTAGGCCAGACCGTCTGATCACGTGTCTTGCCCAACCAACCTCACAAAACAATGCAACACCATATATGGGCATCCCTACCCAAGAACCGGCGCCCACAAGAGAAGCAGCCTAAAAATAGCAAACAGGAGGCATAAAGGAACGCGAAATTTAGAAGAAACCGCTATCTATTCTCAACAAAGGAACGATTAAAAACGTAAAAGCACTTCCATTCAGAGCTCAAGTACAGATAACAATCACCCAAAATTCAAATTTCTTCATCCTTGTAACTATTACTTTCTAATAACAGATCCACAAACATTTGGAAACATAAAGCACTTCCGTTCATCCAAATTCTTCAACTAGAGTCGATGCTCACACAATAACTAATGATTGCGTCAACATAGCATATCATTAACCACCGCCGCCAGACCCATACTTTTTGCCAAGAAGTACGACTTGCAGCTTGTCATAGCCAGCAAGTACACCGGCACCTGCAACAGCACGCAATATGTTTGCTCCAGCACCCTTAAACAGTGACTTAGCACCTTCGTTTTTTATAATTTGCTTAAATGCATCCCAAGAGCTATTGTATTTCACAGCTTCTCCTGAGGTCATCATCATCCTTCTACGCACCGTGTCCAAAGGGTAAGAAGCCAATCCAGCACCGATCGTAATTCCCCATCCCAGAAAGAAGCTAGCAAAGAAGCTATCCTGTAAATCACCATGTGAAAAACAACAATGAACATCAACATGCCTTTGATGTGTTATATTAATGTAAACACTGTCCCTTTACTACCCATCAATTTATAATGAAAAACAAGGGAAACATCAACAGTATAAGGGAATCACACAGCCGAAACTATCAAATAGCTCCCCACAAAAAAAAAAAAAATCCCTATAGGGAACAAGATAAAAAGATTTAACATACCCGCAGGCCACCAGTTAGAACAACAGGTTTCAGAGAATCGTACATGCCAAAGTAAAGCCCACGGTACACGATAATTCCAACAAGAGAGATGTTGAATCCTCGATATAACCCAGCAATGCCATCAGACTTGAGGGTTTTCTTGTAAACATCAACCAAACCATTAAACTGCCTTTCACCACCCTTCTTGGCAGCCTTGGCATCATTTGCCAAACGTGTTCTTGCAAAGTCCAGAGAATACACAAAAATAAGAGATGAAGCACCAGCAGCACCACCTGATGCCAGGTTCCCAGCGAACCACTTCCAGTAGCCATCTTTATCCTTCTTGAAGTTGAAAAGCCTCTTGAAGTAATCCTTGAAAGCAAAGTTAAAGGCCTGCAACACAAGTTTAACCAACTTAGAATGTCAATTAAAGGGAAATGCTCAATGGAAACACAACAACACAGATACATGGGAGCATGAAGTAATACAGACAACGTCGGATGACTAAAGATAAGTAGATCTCATGTGAAAGAAAATTGACCTGGGTAGGGAAGTATCTGATAACATTGGCAGTGTTTCCTCTCCACAGAGAAAAAACACCTTCATCCTTAATTGTTCGGGCAAAGCAGTCAGTTATACCCTTGTATGGTTCAGAAAGTCGACCAGCCTTGATCATCTCATTTTGATTCTGTATCAGTAGTTTAACACGCTCAATAGGAGCAGCAGCAGTTTTGGAAACAGCAGCAGATACACCTCCCATGAGAAAATCGATAGCAAAACCAGCTGCACCTTTCTCTGCCGGGGCCTGCACCATAATTGGGGACAAAGAAGAGACTTGTGCAAGGGCAGTGCTGTCAAAAGTTGGCAGCAGGGGGCTCTGCAAAGCTCCATTGGCATACGCACCATTCACCCCATAGTTTCTTGTGTGAATCCTGGGGGAAAGCCTACATATGAGGTAAGACTGCCCATGTATTTTCTGAAATACCGATGGATACGATGACCCATCATCCATGATTATAACTCAAGTCAGTGACCTGCACAAGAACAACATGATTTCAAATACAGGCATGCCTAATACATCTACAAGAGATGTCCGTATTGAGTATTCCATAAATGATACACATGATGCAATGACAAAGCAAAATGAAATAATATAATTCTTCGCACAAGCTTAACCAACGGAAATTTTTTTCTTCATAAAATAGTCAGCTGTTGAAAATTATAAAGAATGCTCCGGTAAGCAGTGTATTACAAATACTTACGTATCCTGAAAGCAGCGTAATTCTACGCAGATCCAAGATTCTAACATCAGGTGGTCCTAATCAAGGTACGCTAGGCGCTATGGGCTGGGGCATGTGCCTAGAGCCTAGATGGGTCCTAAGAGCTTAGGCAGATTTAAGTAAATTTACTAGTCATATAAATAAGTGCCTACTTACACTTAAAAAAACTATATTTGTATTGAGAGTTTGGGTTTACTATTTTAATTAGGTTTATTATTTAACATATAACATACATAAATATCAGAATTTTGCTTTAGTATTTTAGTGATTTTGATGGTACGAGATGAAAATTAAGTGATTATAAGTTTGTAGTACTTTACGCAATATCTTTCAAAGATTGTATAAATTTATAGTGAATTAAAAAATAAAAAAAAGGTGTGGTATAAAAAGTATTGGTACAATAATACACCATCACTTTACTAATTAAAAAGCTAGATGGCACAACCTAATTGGATAACAATTTAGAAATAAAAAAGGGAATTGGCCATGGGATGGAGAGAGAAAGTCTTTCTTCTTTGTTGGAACTTGGAACCAAAGTTCAAGAACAGCATAGCCATGGTGGTCTTCTCTGTATTCCTCTTCGTTGTCTTCTTTGTTCAAAGCTTTTGTTTCACAGCATCTGCCAGCTATGATGGTCTTCTCTCTTCCACCACCTACCCAGATCGCTGGGTGGTCCTCGGAGGTCCTCACAGACGCTTCTTCGGACTTCCAGTTGGTCCGAGATCACTGGGTCCATGAATGGGTCAGCCCCTGACACCTACTAAATACTGGTATATTCTACAATAATTTGAGCCAGATTACGTAATTGACTAAGAACTCAAGTGCAATTTCCAAAAAAGTTTGAACTTCAAAGTTTGGGCATCTCGGCAACCAAAATATTAGCGTGATCACAAACAAGGAAATTAATTAATGATCAGAGTGTTAGAAATTCCATGCATTTTCATAACAAATGCAAAAATTAGAGGTGTTAACAACAGTAACAGCAAAAACAACTACCAGATAAGATCGGCTGCCAAATTTAACCACAATCAACAAGTCAACACATTCCCTTAAACATCCGTAAAGGGTTGTTTGGTTGGCGAGAAAAGTCTGGAAAATGAAGAAAGCACAATTCTCAACAGGATTTTCTCGGGGAACCAAACAAAGCGGAAGAGAAAGAAAAAACCATAACCTGAGAGATGATCGGCGAGGAGGAAGAGAGTGACAGTCAGTCAACGAAGAGAGAGGGAGCGTCGAGCAACCGAGTGCTTCTCCTTCAACTAGGAAATGAAGTGGGCGACATCAGGAGACAGGGGACAAGTAGGGTTTTCTGGAATGACTCTTTTACCCTTATTCTGCCATTTAAATTATCGGCTTGGCCATTTTAGCGCCCTGTAAACGAGTAAAACAGAAGTCTAAGAACCTACTAATTTAGTGCTTGTTTGGATATGTTTTTGAAATGATTGAAAACTCTTTTGGTAAAAATATTTTTAGAACTAATCATTTGTAAAAATATAAGTAAGTTATGGAAAAATACTTCAAGTGCTTCCTTCCTGAAAAAAGCACATAACAAATGTTTTTAAATACTTTTGAAATAAAAAAATATTTTCTCTAAAAACGCTTTCAATTATTTTAAAAATACATTCAAAAGAGCCTTTATTATTTACCAAGAAAAAACCCTACTGATTTATTCTCTAATTTTGTTGTTTTCTCTATTGCACATGCAAAAGAGAGCATTTTCCTTTAGTTTTCTGCTAGTCTCATTCCGCACGCTCATGTGTGTGACAATTTTTTTATTTTTTTTTATTTTTATTTAGTTTGAATATTTTTTTGAAAGTAAATTGTTTATTTTAGAATTCTAATTGAGGAGGGGTATTTTGGAGATAGTGAAAGCTTTACTGTTTTGACATGCTCCCTTTATGTATTAGTATATTACATATACAATCAGTTTTCTTAGCTAACATGGTCCTTGCAATTTACATAACTTCCCATTTTGATTCTTAAGATTTAAAATCAGTACAAGTGATCCTTGAGATTGTCCATCATCAATCATTTTGATCATTCCGTGAATAATTATGTTAAATAAAGATTAAAATGACAAGCTACTTAGTACTACGGTCTGGTGATATTTCTCTTTACTTGTAAGTGAGAGGTCTTAGGTTCGATTGTCGCCAAAGGTGAATTTGAACCACATTATTGCTAGCCCAGTGTGAGGCTAATCTTACCCCCTCCCTCTTAGTGTGGATAATATCGTTTGTTAAAAAAAAAATTAAAATGATAAAACTACCCTCAATTTAATAAATAATATGCCAAAATGATTCGACAATAATTGAGGGTATTTTTGTCATTTTATTTTTATTTAATGGAGATTTTCCACAGAAGGACCAAAGTGATTGATGATAGACAAACTCATAGACCCAATTCTATCGATTTCAAATCTCAGAAATCAAAATGAGGAATTATGCAAATCTTAAAGACCATTTTGGGTAAAAAGCCTACAACATGATGTTGAAGAGTTGATATTAAAGCAAACCCATTCCGGCAGATTCCCTGATACCTTTAAGGCAGGGGTTCGAAACCAGTTGAGAGCACTTTGTGGCCAGAGGCAAGCCGAACCGCAAGAGAGATTAGACCCACCCTTCAGTGTGTTGGGACACTTCATGGTCTTCACCAAAACACCAAACATATTCTCTCAAACGCCAGTTCCTTCGGAATTATTGGGCAAAACGCTTTATGCAAGAGCAACTCCAATAGCCAGCCTTCCGAACTACGAGTAGCTAGTTACTTGGTTCGTGTGGTGCAAGTTCAAAAGAAGGATATGATAAAACCCAACACGATTCACTACCAACATTGTCCCAACTTAACTATATATTACTAAGTGTAGAGTTCCATACAAGACCTCGGTGATATTAAGAGTGAAACTCTCACATATAAGCTGTATATTATTTTGTTACATTTCCGACGTGAGACTTTATTCTCCAATAGAACTCGTTAGTGCAAGTCTACAAGATCCTACAACAATTGTTTACTACATATACATTATACAACAATTGATGGACTTGGCAAGAATTTGCACCTAAAGAATTGCTTCCTACATATGCATTATACATTATACAACAAAACCAAACAAAGCAAAAGTGAAAAATTAAAAATTGTTGGCTCAGGTAACAACTGATGCAGAATCTGTTACATTTTGGAAATGGAAACTGATTGATTATATGCTGTATCTCATCCTTCTTCCTTCGGAAGGTGCGCTCAACCTGAATATCGATTTAATGCCCAACCTGAAACGGAATACAGAATTACAGATTTTACATCTTATTTCGAAACTGGTGGAAGGAAATAGATGGTGAAAAGCCAAAACAACAGAACACGAGTGAATAAGTTTTGCTAAAGTCAGAAAACCGATGTATAATATTCGACGAAAGAGAATGAGTTGAACTGAAATATGATTTCATCGAAATCAAATTTTAAACTGACATGTCTTCAATGTTGGATTTACTACAATTTCGCGTAACTGGCTATTGATGAAGCTCATGGGATAATCCAAGCAATTATTTGTGTGCGAAGAATAAATCCAAAAAAGAAAACGTCAGAGAAAACAAAACTCGGAATATTTCTGCTAAATTGCTGGCATCAACGACTTTACCAGAATTAGTGAGTTGGGCGATGTCAGTTGATCCTATACATGATAAAGACAGACTGGAAGGATCAGGCTGGTGGCAGTGGACGCCGACAAGTTGGGCACTCCATCTTTATATCCATCCACCTTTGTAAACAACCCGAGTGAAAGCAATGATCACATGGTGTCACCTGCAAAGGAAATAGAACATTAAATCAAGCACCTAAGTTTGGGTACTTACATTACAATATAAAACATGCCATCACAATACCATGCGATCGTTTGAACGTTGTGTGAGATCAACTGCGGTCATGCAAATGACACAATCTGTGGTGCGATTCGTATTCTGATCAAGCCTTCTACAGTAGCTATATTTTTCAGGTAGAATCTGCAACCCATCAAACAGAAATGAGATATAAATATAATTACACTTCCACACACCAAAAAAAAAAAAAAAAGGCTTGTTATACTAGCTGCACATAAACTACATTATTTTGATAATAAAAAAAGGAGCTCAAATGTTAACACAAAATTGGGGTGTGAAGCACGATATTGTTTACAGACCTTCAAGATGGGAATTTAAAAAGCATTTAGTTACAATCTTTTTTATGTGATCATAATATTAGTATTCTATATGAAAAGAAGTTTGTTACTGTGCGATTGAAACAAGCAATTTGTATTATATTCCAAACGAATAAACCTGCTCCTTGCTTGGGGGCAATTCCTCAACAAGTTACCCATATAATTAACATTCCTTCATAATACAGCAATGATGACTGTCTTGATGCGAGGTTGTTTGTGTGTCATTGTGCGTCAAAAGCGGAGTGTCAAGGAAAAGAATTCCCAGGAAGATATAAATGACCAGAGTTAGATCGAACCTGACGAGGAATGAACCACCGCGAGCCAAGATAGTGCTGAAGAAGAAGAATGGATGCTTGCAGTCCAATAAATACACCCAAACAAATACACCAACTCTTGTCAGGCTCAATGCGCATGAAGTTGTTAGGGCAACCAAATATGTATAATGGGATTGCAAGCCGCGTAACAGTCATGCCCAAGATGTAATGAGGATGCAAAGGTTTTCTTGAATCACGAATGACATTGGTGATTATTTGAGGTATCCAAAAGGAGTACATAAGGAGAAGAATAGGTCTCAGGAAGTTATGGAACTCATACATGAGCAGAATGCCTCCCAAAAGAATCCCATCTGCAAATAATTATACAGTTAGATAAAGCCTATAATTTGAAACAAAGACTCATAAGCTAGAATATTTTCAGTCAACAGTATAAACCTAAGAGGGAAATCAAAGAGCACACATCATAGGTTGCAAAAGAAAGAACATATTTCTTAATTATTGGATTTAATTTCCTGGTGTTATGGAATTAAGATTACTTTCCCATTTCTAGTAAATTTAGGATTCTTTTTCGTTTATTGTAGGAATAGGTTATTATAAATAGGTGCGTTGTAATTCAATGTTGGGAGATTCAAAATAATTGATTAAACAAACCTTCTTCATGCGTATCTTCTTTTCTAGAGTTCTGTTCTAATGATGTGCTTCTAAATTCTCCTTGACCTATCTCTTTCGGTTTTTTAGATCCAAACCCTGATTTCTGGTTGCTTGTGCTACATCAATTGGTATCAAAGTCAATTAAGGATGAACAAGTACTAGAATTTAGGGTTTGGAAGGGATTCTAGAAGAACAAGAATTAGAGCTCAAGATAAGAGAATTTGGAGAATTTTAGAATTCAGAGACAGAAGAAACAGATAGGTCGAGGAGAGATCTAGAACAGAAGGGAAGATTAGGTTTAGAAGACAGAGGCAAGAGACAACTCAGGGAGATGATTTCATTCATCAATCAAGTGTCTCAATATTAAATCGCAAAACACCTGTTCATAATAATCTAATCGTACAACGAACATGAAGAATCCTAAATCTACTAGAATAGGAAAGTAATCTTAATTCCATAACAATTATGAAATTCAACAATGGAGGAAAATAAATAAAAATATTCCTAATATATTATTCTGTATCAGATACATTGGATTTAAGGGGCTGTTTGTAGGTCTACAAAGTCATCCCATTCATTGTCTACGTTGCTTAATTGTTTCTTTCCATTAAATTAATCAAGTTCTATTTTCAGAAAAACTAATCAAGTTCTACCAAATTACATATTTCTTGAAACAACAAGAGAACTGGTGACAACCCTCCCCAAATTATCCTCCAGTCTTTTTTGGATGCAACTTTTCTACCTTATTGCACTGGGTAAAACAAATAACTTACCAAATGGGCTTTAAAATCAAAACTTGATGAATGGCATTCCACATGCAAACAAAGAAGCATATATTCCAAATTAGTACTTACAGAAACGGCTATATAGAACTGAAAGCTCACGCCTCATCGTCTCCCAACCTTCCCCGCTATTTGTAGGCCTCCTGGCTTTCCATATAGCAAGAAGATATCTCATCTCAAATATTGAGAAGACAACAAACTTGAAAAAAGCGGCAGTCGCAAAAGCATTAAACAAGGATTCTGTATGAACAAGAAACAAGGTTAAAATATATAGTTAATAAGGAGAAAAAAGAGGTTAATGTCTAAAAATACTGTTAATAAGCAAAAACTAACATGTGATAAACAAATGAGGTAATTATAGAGGACATGGGCACAATAATATTAAGCATGTGAAGAAAGATGCTCAAAAATAGGACATGTAATCTATAAACATAACAGACGATACACGTGTATCAGTCTGTAACAAACTCAATTTGGGGTCTTGAGAAAAAGATTTCTTATGTGGAAGCATGCACTTTGCAGTGACATTTTTGAAAAGCCCACCAGGATTTATTTTCTTCAGAAATCTATGTTCCAAAAAGCTGCTAAAGTTAGTGAAAACAATATTCAAAGTAGTTGCAATCAGTTTCTTATCTTAAATAAGAGCATTTATCTCTATTTGCTGCTTTACAACAACAAGGCCCTAACCCACTAAGTGGGGTCAGCTATATGATTCCTGGAATGCCATTGCACTCAGTTTTGTGCCATGTCAAAAGACACGAGTTGCTCATTGTAATCTTAACCCCAATACTTCCTGATCACAATAATTTTAGCTTTTGTAGTGACTATACTTAATCACAACTGCTTCAGAGCAAGTGTCTGGCTAGTATACTAACACTCCTAGGATTGGAAACATTTACAACAAGCAGGTAGTGAATCTCAACCAAACTTACCAACAAGTATTCCTGCAGTCAAATGTAGAAGGCAGAGATAAGCATCCATGATAGCCTGTTGGCCAATCATTAGAATCGAAACTTTGGCAGCCCCCTGAAAAGTGCACTTGTAAATACAAATGGCATGTATTGTTAAAATCCCCTTTTTTTTTTTTTTTTTTTTTTGTATGTTCAGACAAAAGTTCTTACTGAATGAGTGTTGCTATGTTCCATTTGCCGAATTAAGAGAAGAACTTGGAGAAAAGAGACCTGAGGAAATACGTTAAGGAATATGCTAACACAAATATGGCATAAAACATTGAAATTAACCTGAAATACAATGATAAATAAAGGATACAAAGGTGACCATCAAAGTATAGTTCACTGCTTTGTTGTAGTACACCTCCACATTGACAGAAGTAGCATTTAATATCAAGGGAGAGAAGCAATCTCCATCATCATCCACTGAAGGACTCTCCATCAACGATTCTATATGGTATCGATCACGATCTCCATCTAATAAAGATTTGTAGAAATTTGAATGAGTCTTGAACTTTAGAAACAAACAAACAAACAAATAATTATGTCCATTCACAACCTAGACCAAAAGGTTTTGACCTCCCACATGCACAAGCCCCTCCATTCATTAAGTTTATCCATTTATTCAGTAAAAAAAACTAACAAAAAGTAGGCACAATTAAACACTAAAGATGCTATGAGCACGTTCAGTATTAAAGAAAATAAAAGATTATATGAAAGAAACGAATCATGACATGGGCAAGAATTACACGATGAAGATGGTACATTACATAAGCATTATGTCCACTTATGTGAAAATCATAGACTATCAATTAAAAGTGCTTCTGAATCGTATCTTATCAGGAAAACTGTTGGCAGGAAATGTGAAACTAACTTTAGAGATTCTGTCCAAAAAGATTAGAGATTCTGTAGTTTCCAAGAAAAGGGATGGTGGGGCAGCAATTAAAAGGGAAGAAAGAATCCATACGCTGAGAAAACTCAAATACCATTATGGGCGGATGAGACACGTGAAACTTGGCCCGCGATTTCTATATTACAGTGTTTCTCCATTTCATAGATTGGAGCTGCAGTATGAGCAAAATAAAATTATCATAACATGATAAAAGCAATATGAAAATAATTCATAGTGAAGTATAAGAAATTACAATGTTTTTTCCTCCATATCTTATCTCTAGGAGATTCTTGGAAAACCTGGGAAGAGAAAACTCCAAGCTGTTGCAAAGGTAACATGTAACGTGTGAGTAGTTGAAACCTCTGTAATTGCATTTCACTTTCTAAATTAATGACTATTACAAGCACTAACATCTTTCATATATTTTTGGCACTCCAGATTACAAAAATCAACATGACTAGCAGCACCGAGCAAACACCAAGGGATAATGCATACGATTACAGAAAGCGGAGTTATAAGGCTTCATAACAATGAATTGAACAAAAAATTACCATATGATACGGATTTGACAATAAATATTCTTCTGCTTGGCTTGACTCTCCCTCTTTTCCACTGCAAAATGATAAGAGCACATATTTTGTTTCCTTAAAGAGATGGAGCACATATCCATAACAGAAGATATTAAATGCAAGCGGGTTTAAACAATTAATCAATGAAATGGACGAAAAGCCTTCAATAACTGAACCAGGAAAAATTACCTGTGAGCTACCATTCGAAGTTGTCTAAATGGCCATATAAATACACCCTCCACCCTGATTTGAACACCACCAACATTGTGTTCATTGTCAAACACATCATGGAAAATAATTACCCCCTATTGTCAGCCAAATGAAGAAGTAGACTGTTATTTTAAAAAGAACGATAATAACTTGAAAAGTTAACACTAAAACAATTGAAAGAAATAGTTCTATAGTTATGTAGTCCATGAGAAGATAGCATATTTGAGCCTTTTGGCTGCTCATTTAATATATGACAATTTAAAGATGATCAGAGCCCATCACAAGGATATCATACAAGTGCAAATGCACCCCGATGTGATATGGAGAAACTGAAGCAGGTGCAGCAGGAACTGTATACAAGATTCTAAATTTAACACTTGAGAGCTTCAAAATATCTATTAACTCATAATGCAATCTGAAGCAGGCCCTCAAGCTAACAAGAAAAGATAAAGTGCTAAATCATCAAGCCTCTAACGCTAGAGGGAAAATATTTGACTGCTAATCCATGGAGAACATATCTCACAAGAGGAATTTATCATGATATAAAGAATCCTGAGGCATTGCCACATTGGCCTGTCCTGGCAAAGGCCTCCTAGGTTTATGCCATTTGTGTGCATGGAAACCACCCATCTAACATCTATACATAACTAAATTCAGTCACATTAGACAAAACTCACCCTCCCACCACCTGTATGTATAGATAAGCATATTCATTAACAAATATATATATATATATATATATTGGACGTGCCATTTGTCTTGCTGATATCATGCATAATTCCGGTCTTCGTTCTCGATAAAACCCTCTTTATATGTTATGAATTAAGGTATATATACAGATGCAGACCTTACTTTGATATGATAGTCAGTATGGGTTCCAACTGCTCACCTGCACGTAATGTACGCCAGTTATTTTTGTCGGCATGCTAACCAATTCAATGATACTGTTGCCATGGGAATTCCTAAAATCCGGAAATCTGGAAGAGCTATTTGTTGAATCAGGAAACTTCCAAGTCCCTGCAACTCACATGTAAATATATTATGTCTCAGCAGGTCAAGAAATCATTTTACAGGCTTAGTTTTATCCATTAATGTTTACAGTAAGGTTCTTGAAAATCATGTGGACAATGCGGAAAACATTGATTCATGCCGGAGAAGACAGAAAGAAAGGATTCATACATTTCAAAAGATTCATTGCCGTTAATTATTTAGATAATTCATAATCTTAGACTGTATCTAATGAGACTGTGTTGTATGGAATATGTCTTTGGGTTCCCTTTGGATGTCTGTATCTTCAGAATGTATGCATACAATCCAGAGGCTTATGCCAGTCATCATCCATTGGGATAGAGTTCGTTTTCAGGCTGTATTGTATGATTGGAATTCTACTGCTGTACGCTAGGTTTTGTTGGTCTGCTGACATCTCCTTTGCTTAGCTATGCAGTCTTTGTTGGTTTGTTTAGCTAGTAAGCCTAGTATATTCTACATAGATTAGCAGTCTTTGTTGGTTTGTTTAGCTAGTAAGCCTAGTATATTCTACATAGATTAGCAATCTTTGTTGGTTTGTTTAGCTAGTCAGCCTAGTTTATTCTACATATATTTGTGGGAAAACATTTTCCCTGTGTTGTCCTGTTCTTGTTTAATGAATTATGTTTCTTGAATTAAGAAAAATAGCATGGTTAAGAGAAAGAATAAATATTTTGCAACTTCTGCTTCTAATCCAATTACTTCAGCAATAAGCTTCATGATACAAAATTCTAATGAGAACAATAAGAATATCTTATGATCCAGTTAGCAATGAACAAACTTTGAACAAGTAATAGCGGCAATAACTAACATTATTCAAAAGTATGATAAGTTACAAACCTCTGTAAGTTCCTGTTATATTCCATGTAGAAAATGGTCCCAAATCAATTTCATCTTTTTTAACAAATAGCCACTGCAAAAAGAAAATTTTTGAGGAATTTAAAAGGTTGGTTTGTTCAATTTCATACCATTCCAAAACAAATTTTGGTCATAAACCTACTTCCTCATAAAAAGTATACGGATATGTCAAACAAATTATATCAATGCCATGTAATTGAAAAAATTACTGATTAACAGCAAGCGACATTTTTCTTTTATTTGGGGAGGGGAATGGCGAGAGTCAAACTCTTGCCGTGTTGCGGGGATAAGTGTTCTTTTATCTAAATTATAAGCCGCCACATACAGATGCATTTAATGCAGCCCATAAAATGGGCACAACCAAGGAAGTAACAAGCAGACAGAAATATTGCAGGACATGTAAGTCATTGCTCGTATAGTTTAAGTGATTATATCAACATTCCAAGTGAAACACCACTATTGCGGTTCTCTAACTAAACTAACTCGGAACTAAAAATAACGATGGGCTGCAGAACTCAGTATCTACAACTAAATTAACTACGGACCATGACTTTTTGAAGCAGCTGGGTTCATAACAAAGGTTCACAACATGAATGTTTAAGTTTTCTAGCAACTATAACACCAATATTGAGCTCTCCATTAACCTATCTCTAGAAACATGAACTTTGATTTTACATTTATCATCGCATCTACATCCTTCCCATGAGTTAATATAGCTAGTAAATATTATATAAATATTTACATACACACAAACACAAATAGCACTTGGCAGATCAAATTCACATTTCCAACTGAAATTCAGAACCTTTACCCTAAAAACGTCATAAAATTCAATCACAAACAACCAAATGCAACAAAACTAAGCATAGAAAAGAAAAAAAACCCAAAATTTCGACTACCAACCTCATCGCCCCATGATCGAGCTCGTTCCCGCAAGGGTCGAAGACCGGCCACCGGCGGCAAAAGCACAAAAGCAACCCAAACCCAGAATACAACCCAGTACAGCTTGCTCCGCCGAGACCACAAACACCCCAAATTCCTCACGACCCCCGAACCAAACCCCATAAATCCCATCCCTGAAATTCAACTCCGAATTTCCACCGCCACCGCCAAGCCTCTGTGTTGGGAAAGAAATCGAAAAAACGAAGAGAAAAACAGGAAACACATTGGAGTATACAGCTTATGAGAGGGGGGTTTTGCTTCAATTGGAGTCAAGGATTGGAGGAAGTTACCAGCCGATCAAATGGAGAAAGTGAAAGCACAACGACTAATTGACTTCTTAATTATTCTCAAGCAACAACAAGGAAAACTAATAACAAAGGAATATCAAATTAGAATAAGTATTTAATTTGAATATCTATTAAATAATATTAGTAATAATTATTGTGGGTTGGAGGTTAAGAGGGTTGGTTCGAGAGCTTAAGAGGAAGACGAAGGCGTGGAAATGGTGGTTGACATGTCCACTGGTTTTTGTATTCTGGTCTTTGGTAAATGGAGGTCAGAGTGGGCGAGGCTTCTTCGGGGCAAGGTAGGTGTACGCGCCTCATCAAAGAGGAGTTTTTCACCGTAACATGGTACATTAATTGTTTTTTATATACGTGATTGAGGAATTTTATTTTTTAAATTATTAATTTTTTAATGTATATATTTTAATATTTATATAATGACACGTGAATGTATCTTCCCTTGTTCGGTGCCTCGATAAAATTGATGAACGGGTTAAATTGATAAAATTAAAAATTTATGTGGTATAATATGGAAAATTAAAATTTCAAGACTTATTTTGTAAATGATTTCTAAAGTTTAGAGTGTAAAACGGAATTAATACTAAATTTTTCATGTCAACTCATTATTTTACTAAACAAACATTAAATACATTTCTAAGACCATCTCCAGGTTTTGAGTTAATTTTTAATTTAAAAAATTTAGATTTTAAGTGAGAAACAGTTTTTCCACTCAACTTTTTTGGGTAAAATTTTTAGTCCGAGATTATTAAAAAATAAATTTAGGATAATTTTTTTCTTAAAATGAACAAACGATATTATCTACATTAAAAGGAAGGGGATAAACTTAACCTCCTAATGGGTTAGCAATAATGTGGTTCAAATTCGTCTTTGGTGAGAATCGAACCTAAGAATATTTAGATTTTGATAAATATTGAAAAATTACTAGACCGACACCATGAAACTCGTGGAAGTCTATGAAAGAAATTTTTTTTAATTATTTTAGTCGTTGTATTTAAATTTGAACCGTTACATTTGTTCATATTAGATCTTAGCCGTTGGATTTAATAAATTTATAAATATGAAATTAAAAAAAAATTACACATATATGCAGGATTGGAAAAAGTTCCTGAAATCCCGAACCAAACCAAAAAAGTCCAAAACCAAAATTTCCGAGATAATATACTGAACCGACCCGAAATTTTAACACGGAAATCGGTATTGTCTCTTCAATGTTTCGGTAATCCCATACGGAACTGAAAATAAATTATATATATATATATATTATTGTACATTTGAATTGTTGCTAACTACTAGTAGCAATATAATTGGTGTGGTCTACAGGTAGTTATAGCCATTTGCTCCATTTGTTCAACGCTACCGTCCAACTCTGGGATTTCAAAAATTTAACTCTACCATTTGGTTTACAGAGAGTAACCATAGCCCTTTTATCGCCACATCTACCAGTACGAACCTCTCACACACTTCTCAACCAAATGTGTTTATTTCTTCAACACGAAATAAAAAAATTGTATTGTTAGTTTTCCAACATATTAGGTTTATAACTTATTTTTTTTTCTTTTGGGTTTGTTACTTATTTTATTTTGGTTGCATGTTAATTTGACTTTGTGTGAATGATTGTTATTTCAATTTGTATGAACTTTGAGACTATCGAAAATATTTCGGGAATCCTGAAACTTAGGAATATCGAAATTTCGGTTTGGAATTGGTCTTCAAATTTCCGTCCTGAAAACTTTCGGTTTGGGATTCGTGTCACGCCCCGACCTGTGAATAAAGACTATTCACGAGTTAGGGTGTGAGTCATATCTTAGCTATAGAAATAAATTCTACAACCAAGATATGGTGGAAAATAAAATTAGTTTGACACGATTACACCATACATCATATAACAAATCTTACATAATAAAAGCTTGAGTTTACTACATATAATTTATTGAGTGCGCAGCGGAAATAAAATATTAGTATACAAAATTAATTCATAACAAAAGTACCAACTAAATTGAAATGAGTAGCTCTTGCAAATACATAAAATGTATGCAATGAGATGCACAAATGTACTCACTCCCTTCTAATCCCGTCAACACATACCTAAGGCACCCAAGCTTGTACGTTCCATATTATGCTCATACCACTTGGCTCCGAATACCTTAGAATATGAGTTAACTCCCGTTCATCCCTTAACCCCAATTTTTGTAATTAAACTCTCATTTTCCACTTTATTATATAGGCACTTCCCTTGACGCCCAATTGTATATTCAAGCCCTTCCCCCGACGCTTGACATAAACAAGATTTCATTATTTTTATAATCAACAATTTGTATACTCAAGCCTTGCACCCTATGCCTGACATATACTAGGTTCATTATTTTATATTCAAGGCAAACTTCAGCCCTTGAATATCCTCACAACTTAAACACTTTACTTAAGTGAGCACTTGACACAACACAACTCTTTTTCTTGCTTTGCATGAATAAACATGTATATGTCAAGTTCATATAGATATCCATACTCACATTTTATCTAACAAACGTGCAAGCTTCAATATAAATCAAATTGATTAGTAACAAAAGTAGTATAATCATAATATTAATAACAAAATAATAATCTTCAATATAAATGATAAGCAATATGTTACCATTTCCTCATTTTTTTTATATACTAAAATTCTACATATGTAATAGAGTCAGGATTGCTGAAGCCAAAGAAACTCGAGATCTTGGCCATGCAAAGAGGTTGGCATAGAAAGCTAGCTCAACTGAACATTAGCTGTTCGAACTGGGGTACAAGTCAGCACATAGATTGGATTGTCGTTGTTTTTGGATATGTTATACAGGAGATGATAAGGAACAACTTTTGTGAAGGAAGTGTTTCGATCAGAGCTACAAAAAAATGAGGTTTTGGTACTCATAACATGGCTGTCCAGTTTTTTGCGGGATTAGAGACTGAGTTGGTATTTCAATTATTGGACGGTTGCACCGTTGGATTTTCCTGAAATTTGGATATATCATGGTAGAGAGACAGACGAACAACTTTCATGAAGAAAGTACTATGATAGAATCTATGAATGATGGTGTTTTAGTTTGTTAAATAGGTGGAAGAATTTCTAGTTTTTGGATATCTTTCTTTTGATAAATGAAAATGACGATGAGTTTGGTGGAGAGATTTGTTGGGTATTGTCTCATGTATTTTTTTTGGGATTTGTTTCACAATTATTGTACATCATTCTCAAGTGAAATAAATGGATATTTTTGATGGTTTGGTGGGGATGCTTCTTATGGCAATGATCTCAAAATGTAAATGCATAAACAACACAAGATTTAAGTGATTCGCCAAATCGACTACATCCACTGGGGTTTTCTTTCATTGTATTTCACTATATATGAGAAACTTACAAATACAATGAAAGATGGCTTAAAGCCCTAAGAACATGTACAAGAAAAATAGAAAGGTAATATGAAAGGGAGGATGGTTTTTTGTTAGAGTTGTTCTTTTTCTTTTCTTCTTCTTCTTCTTCTTCTCTCTTTTTTCCCTGTCCTCTGTTGGTTTTTGCTCATTTCTTTATAAAGATTGCATGACATCTTCATTCCCATCTAGTTGAGGAGAAAGCTTCCAAGTGTGCCAATAGAAAGAAACCAAGTATTGTGCTAATCATTACCATGAAATGTGTTCCAATAACAAGGCAACAAACGTTGTCCTAATCATTAAACATGATATGTGTTCCAATGGAAAAACAACTAATGTTAGATTAATCATGAATTAATGAATATCATGCAAGATGTTCCTTGCATCAAAGGCCACGTCCAAACTCTAAGGAATATGAATCCCACCCATTCTCACCTCATTGGAAGATTTGGAACAAAATTGAATAGAGAATATTGTAGCCAAATGATTAAGATTCCTCTTAGCCTACTGAATCAACGCTCTAAAACCACAAAACATTGCCAACTCATGCACTTAGACACGTATAAGCCAAAGGCTTCCCACCTCCACATTTAGAGTGGTGAATAATCACCAAATCATTAACTCCTAATGATTTCAAACTTGCTAACTCACTCTTAAGTAGACTTCCATCTCTTCACCTCATCATTAACTTCTATTAATTTCCAACTTCCACCTCATTCTTGGGAGAAAAATGAACCAAGCAAAAACTACTTAAATAATCCCACCTGAAGCTTGGCTATAGCAATGATAATTGCCATTAGCAAGTAAAAACAACTTTAAGGCCTACCAAAAACAATCTAATACATATATAAGTTATGTACAAAATTACAAAACCACAATGAGGATGGCAAACACTAGAAACCTCTCTAGTTGGAGAAATTTGAGTTTAAAAGTACTAGCTAGGCTTAGATATATTCTTGTAGTGAAAGAATCTCTGCTAACTTACATGCTAAAAATACGAGTTTTTTTTGTACTCATAGCGTATATAAGGAACCCAATAAAATTATTACATAAAAATAACTTCGCACATACATACATATATATATATATAACTATTTTTTAAATACGAAGTATTACAATTCGGGATCCCATACCAAACCACCCATTCATATATGGTGGGCCGTCCCACTAACTCAACGGGAATTTTGGTCTAAATTTGTCCAAAAAAAAGAATTTTGGGTTAAAACTCATATTTGACTCAATGGTTTGAGCAAATTGGGTAGGTTTAGAACCTAAAATTTGAGTTTTTCTCCAACGGGTTAGAGTAGGTCTAAAGAGTAAAGGAGAATAAGTAGCAATTTATGTAATTCGAAAAAGAGCATTGGAGATGTAAAATGAATAGATGGAATATGGAGATGCTAGGGAGTGGTTTAATTCTCAGATTAAAGTTCTTGGAAGGGGTGCCAAAACTGAGTAATGCACTGGTTGACAACCTCCTCCTACTAGATAGGTGAGACCATGAGACTCCAATGGTGAAAATGACAAAACATAGTCATAAACGCGCCAGATAGGGGTCGAACCTATGACCTTCTGCTTAGGAAACAGACGCTCTATCCACTGAGCTACAGGCGCTTGATGTCATGGACGTGTATTTGAACATGGTATTTCAATTTTCAAATCTCTGTTAGCCGTTTTCTTTTCTCCTCGCACCTTTTGGTTTGACCACATTGCGAACTTCTACATTATGGAATTAGATCCTCTTAGGATCACCTCATTAGGAATTCAGGAAATCAATTAATATCAATCATTTATCAAAGATCGTGTGATTATAATTGAATGTTTTTTATATTTTCAAAAGTAAAACAGTCTAATTTTGCTTGAAAAATATAAAATAAAAAAAATTATGACCGCACGATCTTTGATGAACGGTTATTATTAATTGATCCCAAGATCCCGGTGAGGGGCTATAAAGAGGATCTAATTCCGTACATAATACAGTCGTCACAGCTGACGGCTCCAGATGAAAAACGTGATTGAAATTCTATGCTTCTTCTTCTTCTCCATCTTCCCTTTCTCCAGCAGCTTCACTCGTTGCCCTTCTTTGCTCATTTCCAATCTATATATAGTGCTTCTAATATTTTCGTAACACAAAGAAAACCAAATCCCAGAAATAATCTCACACTTTTAAGTCCTCAAAAACCCTAGAAGTTTCAAACTTCCACCCCCAATGGAACCATTGGGATCTTATTCCTCTTCCTCTTCAGCCTCCTCCACCACCAAGTACTTGTCCCAAACCATCCAACCAACAAAGGGTTCAACTTCAAACTCAAAGCAGCTTCCCCATCACCATTCATCACTCCACTCGGTTCAATAATCTTCGTCGAAGCCATGGAAGAAGCCTGCGGTTGCACCACTCCCACCAACCCCACCAAGAATCTACAAAGTTGACCCCATTAACTTCAGGGAGCTTGTCCAGCGCCTCACCTGCGCGCCGGAGTTTATGGAGACTCGGTCTCTCCAGAGCGTAGCGCCTCCCACGATCGATATCCGTGTGTCTTCTGTACCAAATCATGTCCATTCTTCACCAGAAATTGGCTCTCCATTTTCTGTTATGTACAAGGACTTGTTGGATACTTTGGAGCTGAGTCCAATGCCTCGCCATCAGAAGGTGCATGATAGCACAGTGGACTCATCAGAGACTGAATTGGCAGTCCCCGTCTTCCCATCATTGGTTTTCCTTCCCTCTGCTCAGCCCAGGGACCCTGTCCAGTATCACCCTCGAATAGTATTTTTGCGATGAGGCTTAATGTCAAGGTTTTAGGGACTGGGCGGCCTCTACTAAATGGGTCAATAGTATCATAATTTAACCACTTACAGACTTACTAAAGGTTTCGATGCAATTGAAAAGTGATTATATTTTTATTTTTGTAGGTTTTCGATGTGGGACATTTCACATTCTTTTACACTTAAAATTAGTAACACTTGAATTGGGATCACTAATGGAAAATCCCAAAGTGAAGTCCCGAGCTAGGGACACCCGCAACCCCGAAGTTTGAGGTCTCAAGTCGGGAAACCCGAATGAAATAATAATTAAGGATTCTTGATGTGGTGTTGTCTTCGGGTGTGGCCCACTAATGAGTGGTCTCAGGTAGGAGGGATTTTTCATTCCTATCAATTCCCTTCAAATTCCCTCAAAATGAAAAATCATTCATATCTAATTTCATTATACCTTGAATTTTATGAGTTACCGAACTCAATCCATTCCTAAAAAAACTAGACAAGCTCTGAACAAAGGGCTTAAAAGAAGATAACAAGGTCTTTTGACCATAGCACAGTCCAAGTCGTGGCAAAAATATATCATACACGGTCTTTTAACTGTTTTTACCGCATATAATATAGCATTTTAACAATTTAACCCGCCCAGCTAACTACCATTTGAAAAATATCATAATTTACTAGTTCCAATTGCATCTTTAAAATATTACTTATATTTACTTTTTCCCATTCCATAGATAAGGGCACACAGATGAAACTGAATATGTGTTTCTGCATAATCTGAGAAAATCATCCATCTATATATACGCAAAGAACAACACATCTTCCAGTTTCCACAGCCACAATTACAAATCTGAATTACTTTTAGCCGGGGAATTCTTTCAAGCGTTTATGGTAACCAGTAACAAGACTGTTAGCACAAAAAGTAAAAAAACTATGAGCAGCCTAGCGGAAGTTCCTTGTTCTTCATGTCCCTTCTGAAGTTGAGGATGATATCGGCCAATATTATGGTCGTGCAGAGCTATTGGTCCCAGTAGTTTCTAAGTTGCGACATGTGGAGCAAAAGTTCATCCCTGCCCAAGCCAGTTACACTGCTAGTCATGATCCACGGAGGAGGTACGCGGTAGTTGTCATTGATAAACTGTTGAAAATCCCTGAGGTTCTCATCTGCCCTTTTACCTTTGCCCGCCCTCATTTTGTCACACTTGGTGAAGACAAAAGTCATGGGTATCTAAAAGAAGAAAGAGCATACAAATTATGAGCAATTTATGAAGAGGTTAACATAAAGGTAATTCATATCGAAGAGCCGTGTACATTGTTACGTCCAAGCCAATTAGCGCAGTCTAGGTCGATTTTCTGAGGCGGAACACTAGCATCAACAAGGAGTAGGACGGTAACAAGAGTATCTCTGCTCAAAAAGAAACCTTTTGTGAATGCAGACCAATCCATTCGAGCAGCATCTGGAGCTTTAGCAAACCTACCAACAAAGAAATCACTAGACATAAGAAAATGAAAAAGAGGAGGAGGCAAATGTATTTTATCAATTACTGTATATCGATACAGAAACTATAAAGAATACTGAAATAACAGGATTAATTCCTTATTGTTCTGCATTAAATGTTTTACTTATGTATGAATTCAACAAACATTAGAAAAAAGCAATTAAAGGAATTTAGCAATCTCGTAAGCAAACAGCTGGTACCAGAACAGCAACCCACGTTAAAATTGAAAGTTTTAAACTTCAAAAGAACGACAACCAGAAAATGGAAAGGGCCACCTAACTATGCTCTTGACTGATCGTTCAGTGATAATCTCTACGTCACAAAATAAGGTCTCTTAGTCAATGTTAGCATGAATTATGTCTAAATTTGTTAAATGAGGATAAAGATGAGTACATGCTCAGCTATGTCCATGGAGTTCAGCTTATATAAAATTCAGCTTAAACTACAGGTTCATAAAAGTAACCATTTTCCAGTGTCATTGAGTGACATGATGGAAATTTAGTAGCTTAGATTAAAAACTATTGGGCCCATTAAGAATAATATCATAGGACATAGATATTCAGCATTTGTAAAAACCTCAAGTCACCAACGCCCTGACCCCGACAACCTGGGACTTGGGATACTACAGAGAGTTGGTTGGCAAGTGTGCTGTATTCATTACGATGCTGCAGGCAGTGGAATACATGTCATACATTATGCAGGATAACAGTTTGTAAGTGAAAACTTAGTTTCATGTGTGTAGAGCGTCTTCCTATACTAATTTGTATTCTTCATTAGTTCACTGATACATATACTGACTTGCATTGTAGGAAGAAACCCAAACCCAACTGATCCAGCGCTAATTCCCATAAAGTTTGAAATTTTCTTGAGCGATGCACAAATCAGTCCAAACAGTCGCAAATGGAGATAACATAACCTAGGAGATAAAAGGTCAAAAGCTGAAACTCTCTTTGCATACAAAAGAAGGAAGGGCCTTACCCATAACCAGGCAAATCCACAAAGTACCAACTTTTGTTGACCAAGAAATGATTGATGAGCTTAGTCTTCCCTGCACAAATTTCACAAAAATAAGCAAAACCCAGATACCAAAACACATTCAAACTTTAAAAAATTCGAACCTTTAAGAAAATCAGAAACCTGGTTTCTTAGATGTAAGAGCAACATCCTTCTTGCGAACCAAGGAATTAATGAGTGAGGACTTGCCCACATTGGACCGACCCAGAATAGCGAATTCGGGTCGATCATGTTTTGGGCAATCCTTAGCTCTGGCACTGCTTTTCACGAACTCCACCTCCTTAATCTTGGCATCACCAGCGTACGGTCCGAGCACAATGTTCGAACCGGGTAGGACCATATTTTCGGTCACCTCCTCGGCCGGGTCGACCCCGGGCGACATGAACAGGACGTTCTTGTCCAGGATTGTTGAGTTAGCCTTGGCCTTTGGAGCAAGGACATGGCGTTTTGGGTTTGGGTTTTGGCTCGGATGGGTTGGGTTTGAGAGGAGGGTTCGGAAGGAGAGGGTGGAAGGTTGGGTTTTGATAGGTGGGGAAAGAGGCAGTGATAAGAAGGAAGTGATTTGCAGGGTTAGGAGGCGGTTTCTGAGTAACATTGTATGGGTTCAAGAGAGGTTTTATTTTGTGAGGTTATGGAAAAGGCTATTTTTGTGACAATGGAGGCTTGGATTTTTTCTATTACTGTTCAGTTCGGTTCTGTTTATCTTTCAGTTCTTTTCGATTCGGTTTTGTTGGTTTGGTTTTTTTTACCTTAAAATTTTTTAAACATGGAAATCTGCAAATTGGTACTCCAAGTCTTCAAACAATTGAAACTCCATCATTAATTGACCTGTAACAAATAAAATTAATGGGGTAGATGTCATATGATGCATCAAGGTTTATGAGGATTTGAGGAGAACGAGAATGATAGCCACTAAGAAATTACCCCAGTCATTAAGGCTCCAACCAATATGCTAATCATATCTTAATTCAAGTCTTTGGCCTTAGAGAAAACACATTAATCATAAAGAAAAACTTACTTGGGAAACTAGAAGCGGAAACACCGACCCTAATGATTGTTCAGCTTTTCTATCAGCAGTCATCAAGGTAATGACAAAGCGAGGATGGTTTGCTAGGAGCCGAACAATCTTCCAGAACATTTAACAAACACCTTCCCTGCATCCCGTGTATCAGCCTTCAAATTGTTCACCACGTCCTGCAATTTCGAAACTTTAACAATAAACATCAACTTCTACGATGAACAACACTCAACTCAACAAATCAAGGTTTCCAATTCACTGAAATTTTACAAAGCAGGGTTTAACTGGGTTTTTTTTCCCGCACTTTCTATAGAGATAAAACACAGCATGACAGTGTTTACAAAAAATCAAAAGCAAACTCGATAAAGCTTCAAACCTTCCTGCGACTAACTTTTTTCATTAATGAAGCATATAACGTTGAATTAGATGCCATTTCCTTCGACTAACTCTTTTCAATTCAATTGAATCAGTTCAATTCAACAATTATATAATCATTATTATTACATTGGAACAAAATTCATTGAATGCACACTTGTAATATCATAATCCATACAAAAAAATTAATTGCTGAAACAGAAGTGTAAATTCGATCAAACCGGAGAGTGCTAACTGCAACAGCCCATCATTCAATAGTTACAATACTAGCTAAAGCTAAAACATGAACCTCCAGAAACTGAAAACAAAAATAAAAAGACATTCTTCATTATATTTCAGTTTTACATTAAATTTGGGTAAAAAGTAGAGATTAATGCGTTGCCAAATGCATCCCTATTGAAACTTTACTGGCAGAAAGGATGAAAGGGAAAATATTGAGCTAAAGTGGAGACAGAGAAGGGTAAGCGCTGACCTTGATGGTGGTGAGCGCACTGCAGTACCTGCTGCAAGTGAAGTGGATGAGGTCGGCAGAAATGGATGGCTTTCAAGTTAAAACCCTCTTCTTCTGGTTTCTGCTTCTGGATATGGAGAGAGAGACCGCAAATTGAAAAAACAGACGGGGATGTAATTCTTTCGGGTTCTTCATTTTTAACTTTATTTTGTATTTATTATTTTTTTTAAAGGAAAATACTTGACCCCATCCATATATTTCATTATTTGTAAATAACGTATTTTTACGTAAAAATTTTAGAACAAAAATCATTCTTTTTTTTTTTTAATTTTCATTAAATATCATCAATGTATTGAATCATCTAAATTTATAGAACAAGTTAACTGTGAGTGTTAAGTAATATATTCATAATGAACCGTTCATTTATTTGATATATTTTGACGACTAAAATTCTTCGATTTGAATTGTAGCAATGACCAAGGACTAAAATGGGACAACACATTATTAAGTTCGAGGACTAAAGAAACTAACATGGAAGTCTTTCAGACAAATTATTTTTGGAGAAAGAAACAAAGTTTTATTGCTTCTGAGAACAAAGAAAAACACAAGTTAAAATCGAGAAAACAAATAGAGTCCCCCTGAAATTGAGACAGTTAGAAAAACTTTTATTGCTGACTGTTGCAGCTTTCCAGTCAAGCCAAAAACTTGTCTCCTCTGCTGCCGGAAAATCCTCATAGACTATCCTATTTCTTTCCATCCACATTACCTAGAACATAACCAAAACCGTGCAGCCCCATAAAGTCTTAGTTTTCTTCCCCAGGTAAGAGCAAGCTATGGATACAAACCAACTAATCCGAAATTCCCTAAACAAATGCAGCCATATATTCAAAGTCACCGGACAACGTAAAAATATGCCATCAGCAGACACCATTGAGGGCATAGGTTAGAATTGGGTCTCCTTTTTTGAAGCATGTTGCAAGTGTTAACCTTCCCATGAGCCGCTAACCAAGTAAAGACTTTGACTTCATGGGGCGCTTTAAATTTCCAAATCAAACCATAAGGCTGAAACCCATAGATTCATTCCTTTTTTTTAAAACGCAGCAACAAAATTTCATGGATAAGCTACCTGATGCAGAATGCACTTATACCAAATATGTCAAAAGATATGACAAAGCTACTTATCCATGAGTTCTAAAGAGACCGAGGCCCAAAATGATGCCCAGAAGTCTACCTGATGCAGAATGGACCAGGATTATCGTAATATAGGGTTTTCTGGTTCTCAAGTATTTTTACTTATGCGTTAACTTTGCTTATGCTCCGGGTATTATTATCTCAGGGTTTTCAAAGCTAGGATTGTTTTAGTAATTTAGTTACACAGGGCTTGTTATCCAGTTTTTGTTCTATAAATCAAGACCTAAGAAAGATAAAAAACTGATGCAGTTAACAAATAAGGGAGATCTTTTATCATCTTCGTCTGAGATCTGAGCACCGTGCTCCGGCTTTTGTTGTCTACATCCATTCATAGAAAACTTTCTAGTTTTTTAGCTAGTTCCAGTCAGGGTCATATGCTTTCTCAATATGAAATATTGTTCTTAGAATTCTGAATACTTTCTTAACTCAAATTTTGTTTTTGGGTTATAATTTGGGGATTTAGGTAGTATTATTTTCTTTTCCAATGTCAGTAATCTCAGTTATTTTTCTATTTTTAGTATTGCTTTTTTTTATTTTTATTTTATTTTTTTATGATGTCAAATTCATCTATCCACTCGTCTACTTCATGGTCTATCTTTGTGTGCAGATTCTATTCTTTTTCCTGAAGTTCCAATTGCTCTCAGGTTGTCCAGCCATCTTCTGCTTGGTGTGCCCCCAAGTGTAAATTCTCATGTTTTAGCTCTAGTTATCATGGTAAAATTGAACGCTGAAATTTGTTATTGATCCGTCTGGAATCCAATAATCTGTAAATATGATTGCTGGTGGCGATTCCTTATTTTAACTTATAAGCAAAATTAGTTTTTTCCCAATGTCATTAAGCTGCAGAAGAAAGCTATGAGTGGTATGCCTGTTATCATATTAAAGTTGGGTGTTTCTGTCCTCAATGATTTGATTTGTTCATTTGGAATTTTTTTTCTTCATGTTGAAGAGGTTGGTCCCTGTTGTGCAGTTATGTGGATGGTTTTGTGGTTTCTTTATTTCTTTGATCCATGGAATGACTTGGGACACTACGAATTTTCTGATGTACCGTATTCATTCTCTACTATTTCAGTGGTGATCCTCAAACATTGGGCCAATCAGTAACACCTCTGGAAGTGCATGATATGTATGAGGGGATACCTGGAACTTCAGAAACCATACAACTCCTCGTCTTTCTTTTTAAAGTCTTGTCCTAATTATTCTTCATTTACCATGTATAAGCAAGGAGGTTCTATTCTGTTTTTTTTTTTTTTTCGTTGTTGTTGAGGGGTGGAGGGAAGTGCGATTCATGTACAATTCTGTATAATACAATTCTTGCCTCCAGATGAATTTTTTTTTTTTATACCCCTTTTGAACAGAATGATGTCCTAGCTGCAAATACTGATTTTGTTACATATGCTCAAGCTCCATCAACTCCTGGACTATTTGAAGAGTCAAACCTGTTTGCGGTTCAGGAGCCTATGGCCTGCAGCGATCACTTGGATTTTGAAGACCGTAATTTATCAAATTTAGCATCCATGGGCGGCTCAGAAAATGCTGGTCGTATGTCAGGTCCGCGTTGTGGGGATGATAGTACAATGGTTTCTCCCAACGAGAATGGCTACCATTTGGGCGATATGGAGATCAAACAAACAAAGCCACAGGAGCATGAGCTGATTGAATCCATTTCTCCAGTATTAGAATGTTTAAATGGGACAGTTGGTGCATTGGATAGCCATATATACTGGTACAGTAATTATACTTAGACGTATGTGTATCCAATTACTGCAAGTCATTTATTGGTTTATTTTGGAAGACCAGTAGAAATGTGAACGATTGATTTACTTCACAAAATCTGTACAAGCCACCTGAATTCGTTTTGATGTTTATCAGGCATGTCAGCAGAACTGATTTATCTGCACACTGGAACATTTGATACAAGTACAACAAGGGTTTCCGAAAATGAGCAAAACAATGTTTCTGCGGTACCATTGAAGGATGTAGAATCCTCTCTGGAGCCAAATTTTACTAAAGAAATTGAACCCCTTCGAAGCACTGAACCTGTAATAATGAGATATTTACAAGGTGTCAGCTGATGTTTAACGTCCGGTCAAGGCTTATGGATAAAACTGATGATGAAGATGCGTTGCTACAGATGGATGCATTATGCAGGTCACCAAATAATAAGTTGGACGCCCAACCCATGGAGGTGGATGCACTGATAGTGGAGGCAAGCATCCAGGAAGAAGTTGATGCCATTCAAGTTGTTGACCGTAATGTCGAAATCAGAGCATGCCGTGCGCTGAAGATACTCGTCTTCTTGAGAACAGTGGATGCTCTTCCCGCACCAGGTATGCATGCTTCATAATAAAACCCTAAACCCTCTATCCACTTGGAGAAAATGGTTGTGTACTGGTAAACAGGTTTTTCATAATTCTCATGTCATACAATTCGTAAGTTAAAATTGCTGATTGTTTTTCTGTGATATCGATTATCTATTATTTATCATCAGACATTCTGATATCAGCTTTCTGTTATTATTAAAAACCAACTCTTGAGTTTCGTATAGGGCTGTTGCCAAGTGTCTCCAGACTTTACTTGAGCTTTCGTTTTATTTGAGCTTCTTCTCTCATTTCTCCCATGTGAACGCCCCATATATGTTTCAAATTGAAAAAGAAAAAGAAAATAGTAATAAAATAAGGCTTAGTAGCCATTAAGTTTAATACTGTGTTTTCGTATATTTAAATGTTCTTGTCCAAATTGTGGGTGTGTAGTTTGAAATGCTTAATAATCTGGTTCGATCGTGATTGTACTCACTGTTTTGCAGGTTCTCAAGACAAAGGATTACATCCATGTGGAACAGGCAAAGCCCTTTGACAACGTCAGCATAAGATCTCGAGTAAAACTCATGAAGTCAGACTTCTGATATCTTACATAGGAAAGGCAGATATTGTTGAAAAGCCTTTACAGTTTAGTTTGTGTGATGCTCAATTAAGAATTGGGAACATTCTTTTCCTTCATTAGGTATTTTCTCAAAAGAATCTTCCTTTTTGTTCGTAAAAAAATGATTCCTTTTCGCCTAGTCTAGGAATTAAGTTCGCGTTAGGTTGTGTAATTGATGAGAGACACATCATGTTGATTGTAGCGGTGGATTATATCAGTATGATGTATATATATCTGTAAATTAGTATCATTTGTATTGAAGGTGCTAGTATTTCATTTTCCAATAAAGCCTTGGCCCTTTGACCTTTGCTATGTCTAGCCTTGACAAACGAGTCATTTCTTTCGTGTTTGGGTCATGTTGGACACAACTTGCTTTCTTAACATGTTGATAAGAGCTAAGGACAGAATCATTTAGCCACATTGATTAATTTGATTCGGTTACCGCATCGATTTGTAAAATGATTTAGTTTAGAGGTACACAGATCGTCCATAGCTGGATGAATCAATGTGGTAGGTGAGACAAATAAAGGGTAAAGTAAATAATACCAGGATTGATTTTTTAGTGTAAAAATATGATTTTTCGTTAAAGTGATCAGTACCGTGGGCTTTTCGTTAAAACTTCCAAGAAGAAAAGAGCAAGAGATAGTTTTAGAGTGAGAGAGGAGGAAGGAGAGAAAAGAAAAAAGTGAATTTACATTTAAAAACTCTAAAATCTCACTTTTTATGTTTTTAAAGAATAAACTATATTTTTGAGGTAGTCTTGAGTTCGGTTTATTAAAATAATCATACCAAACAAGTTTTAAGGCCTAAAACTTGAAAATTATTTTTGAGATTAAAAAGTTAAATTCGTATTAAACATGCTCTTAAATTTTTGCGGTTTCCAAACAGTACTTATAACACCAGTGTACAGCTGCACTGCATGCTATAGGGTTCCAATGCCCAATTGGGGTGATATAAATATTTAGAACAAATAGCTAAATAAATAGTTTGTGACATTAAAATTAAAAAAAAAGATAAGAGAGTTCGCAGCACTCCATCATCGGATGGTTCCAGTCAGTCATTGACGTAAAAAAAAAAAAAAAAAAAAAAAACAAAAAAACAAAAACATAAAAACAAAAAAAACCAAAAAAAACAAAACAAAACAACATTTCAGGTTGGCATAATTATTAATTAGGGATAAGAGTGAGTTGGTACATAAATAAAAGTTCCGGGTAACTTTCAAAAGCCAGAGAGAATTTCCTGGGGAGTCCCTACCTGTCTTCAAAACAACGGAAGCATCAAGCAGCTAAAGTTGGTACAATGCATGGGTGAAGTCCATAAGGCTGGCCTTAAGGACATAATTGTCCATTACTCTTCCTTTCCATATTTGCCTTCAACACCTTTGAAGAACCTCATGAACCAGTAAGCAGAAGATTTCGGGTGTCTCGACAGCCCATTCTTATAGTCAACGTAAACCAAACCAAAACGCTTGGTATATCCTTGGGCCCACTCAAAGTTATCCAGTAACGACCACGCAAAGTATCCCCTTACATCTACCCCATCCCTGTTCACAAACTAATATGAGTTAATTACTTTTTCACAAGGTGAAAATATGCACTAGACATGTGAAGATGTTCAAGATGGAGAAACAAAATGACCAACTAAATCTTTTCTTTGGTTACTACCAATTGAAGATATTTTGTGAAATGTGACATCTATGTCTTTCCCCGTTTGCAGTTTCCCACTACAAATAAATAGATGAATAGCACAAGCCACCGGTTATAAACCCACCTCCCATTTATGCAAGATTTTGAATTTGACAGGATACTAGGGTTTAGAAACCTAACAGCCATGGATAGAACCCTGGGGATGCCTGTGGATTGGGTTGGGTTGGGGGTGTGTATCAGCCACCCACGTGTCTCCTAATAACCCATCTATGCCACCTTAATATTACAAGCCGTGTACACATGCATATTTTCACGCATAAATAGATGCGCAACACAAGCCTCAGCCTATACATCAAGACAATGGATGCTGCAACTAAGTACTCATCCATCTTGGAAAGGTCGCACGACTCCATGCAGGGGCTGAATGACATGATAACCTATATGGACTTTGTAAAGTCTTTCATGCAGGACTTACTAAAGAATGACTTGAAAGCTTGTTCATATGATGAAATGGATGAAATGAAGTCAACCTACCTTATCGCTTTGGCAACTGCTGAAAGGTATCCCTTAAAGTAACTAACTCTCAGTTTGTCATCCAGCATTTCATGAAGTGGGGAGGTGTCATTATCTTCGTCATCCATACCTGTAATTTAAAAAAGAAATTAAAAGAATCATAATGTTGAATAAGTACAAACTCATAGTTTTCCAGACCAATAATCAAAAGAACTTTAATTCAATATATTTCACCTCAGTACATATTTCATTTATATAATGGGCAAATGCATTAGACCACAATTGAAATTCTAGATTCAATTTTGTTTTCCAAGGAAAATCTCTCCAAGCATACCATTCTCAGTAACATATATTGGGGGATTATTGTATCTCTGCGCTATGTAATTCAGAACCTTATGCATGCCCCAAGGAACAACATACAGCCATTCTGATGCTGCCTGTCAAGCAAAATATTTCAGAAGACTGGACAGTTAGTGGAATATGTCTGCAGGAGAGAGTTCATACCTTCTCACCAATAGCCTCACCCCCTTCCCATTCATCTGATGGTAAAGAGAGAACATTATATAAAGATCAAGAGAAAATTTGTTGTGAAAACCAATGACATAGTAGTTACAGTATTTTACCAACTCTCTCTATCCCTTGTGCTTTATAAAAATCACCCTCATCATGGTCATCTTTTCCATGAGCAATAAATCTTGATGTATAGTGATTCAGACCAATAAAGTCTACTGAGTTCTTAAGCAACTCCTTATCTTTCTCTGAAAATATGGGAAGCCGATCTCCAAGTCTTTCGCGCATAACTTTGGGGTATTCGCCATGATATATTGGATCTAAGTACCTGCGTTTGGAATCAGTTGAGACGGATTCTAAACAATACTAAGAGGAGAAAACCATTTAAATTCATCTAACAAACTGCCTGGTTTGGCAGCAAGCAGAGCTGGAGAAATTGCTAGAATCATCTGCACCCATTCAATGATGCGGCCCATATGCTGTTTATATGTCTCAAGAGTAGGTTTTATATCTTATAAGGATTCAAATAGAATGCATCTTTCAATTAATATGGTTTCACCAGAGGGCAACAAGACAATTTGGTTGCATTTCAAGTAGAGGGGAATACTCAATATAAACAACACGATAAATGAAAACTTATGGTTCTGCTCAAAACTAAAATACAAACATTGTATTTCTACGTTGTTTTGTCATTAATTACAGCCCTGCTCTCACCAATTAAATAACTACACTGAGACCAGTTACTCCTGCTAATTTACCATGAGGTTTTCCAATGTCCTTTGACCGTATGGATGCTTTAATCGTGCACATTTAGTGTACTTGTATGAATATTGAATGCACATTGAAATTGTTTGAGAATGAGTGTCTGTATGAGGGCTCATGAATGTGTGTGTGTGTGTGTGTGAGAGAGAGAGGGAGAGAATTAAACAACTACACTGAGATCAGTTACTCCTGCTAATTTACCATGAGGTTTTCCAACGTACTTTGACAGTGTGGATGCTTTAATCGTGCACATTTAGTGTACTTGTACGAATATTGAATGCACATTAAAATTGTTTGAGAATGAGTCTGTATGAAGGCTCGTGTGTGTGTGTGTGTGTGTGTGTGTGTGAGAGAGAGAGAGAGAGAGAGATCCATACATATTATCTGAACTTACATAGTTAGTTTTGTGACCAAACAGTTACATAATTTAGGGAACAAGTAATTACCATCCAAGCTGAAAATCTAGGCGCCTTGCTGCAGCAACTTTATCTTCAATTGTGTCTGAAATAGCCTCTGCCCATTCACAGTCTATGACCAAGCCAAGTTGTCCCCCTTGCTTGTCCTGAAAGACAATAGAAGCGGCAAGAGTAAGAACAATATATAAAATTTGGGTAGTGGAGCGGAGAAAGAAGATACCGCTACTAAACTATGTCCATATTCAGAAATCTATATTATGTATCTTAAACCTTGACTGTCTTCCAATCAATTTCACATTCATTGGACTTTATGTGAAATCTGATTTTGAACCCAAATATTTGAGCATGGTTTATTATGTTTACATTTTCCCATATGATGTCAGTTCTACTTAAAAACATATCCTAAACTTATAAACGATTTATGTGAGCTAAATGAGTTCTTTAGCTTGACTACATGCACCTTCCCATATATGAAAGGAAAAACAAATAAAGGAAAAAAAAAATTGAGAGAACACTAGTGTTAAGATTTGCTTGTTCACATAATCACGATCTAATTTTACACAAGAAGGAAGCTATAAATTACTAAAATGATGACTAATATATTACTTCCCTTGTTGAGTAAAACATCTTGCCTTTAATAAATAAAGTGATGAAATCAATGACAAATACGAGGAGCTTGGTCAATGATAAAAAGAGTAACAAGGAGACAAGCTGACAAGCAGTAAACCTTATACTTGGTTCGGTATATGGAAACAGCAGCAGCATGTGCCAATAGTTGGTGGTGTGCAACCAAATATGGTTCTGTTGACGAGCATTCATGCCTTCCAGGAGCAAATATCCCAACACCATAACCATTAATAGCAGTCTGAAGAGGCTCATTAAAAGTGATCCAGTCCTTTACTCTATCGCCAAAGCTTGCAAAGCAGGTGTCTGCATAGACTGAGAAGTATTCTCTGCATTCACAAAATCCAACTGACTACTTGTATGATAGAATCCCACAGCACTAGATAACATATAGGCTATGAGGAAATTGTCTAACAATGACAAACACATACAAAAAATTACTATATTTGTTTCCTGAAAGTAACGGAAGTTTGTGCTGCATATCATTTTTTTTACTCCCCCTGCCAATACTGATGCATGCAGACAAACTGCTGTATTGTAGATGATTTTCAGATTGCTAATAACCTGTATCCCCTAATAGAACCTTTAATATTAGCCAGAAGACCCTTAATGCTCCTGCTACCCAGAGTTTCTGTTCCTCTTCTATAGAACTACCTTCTCTATTGAATTAGTCATTCTTTCTAATGGGTGCTCTATTAATCTTCATTGGGTCTAGTAACCAACATAGTCCATGTCTCCTTTTTTTTCTACAGGTGCCACTTAACCTTCTCATATATGAGTTAGTTACTCTGAGCCACATTATCTCAACTCTCTATCAATGATGGAGCACAGATGGCACAAATTCTTCTCTTTTGGAGTTCTTTTGACTCACAATTGTCGCCACTTCCGCACCTGTATTTCTTCTTTTGTTATAAATTGTATTCTACGTATTCAGTTTTATATCTACTTATCTTAAGTCTATTGCTTCCGAGGTTTCTCTCCGTAACTCTTTTTTTTAGCATTCTGCATGCTTTAGTCTCTTAAATCAAAACAATATGCCAATGGTCTGACCATATATAAAGCTCATCCTGAATATGTTTAGTCAGTTTGTCCATAAAGAAAGGACCTCTGTGTTGATCCCTGATATAAGTCTACACTAATCAAAAACTTGCTTTCCTCTCATGAAGTTTTTTCACAGAATAGATGTACAAAAAGCAATTTGGGGTTGTCCAAGAGAATGAACAATATATGGTTGGTCAAATAAAAGCAACACATATTAGGTACCGTGGATTGAGCTCTAAAAGGCAGAAATATATTTTAGCTCACGTGCCTTGAGTTAAATACATCCAAAAGGAAGAAAAGGGATGAACTTGCAACTTGGGTTCTTGTGGATTGATTCACAAAATTTTAAGCAGTTCTAAAAGCATTTGAAGTGCTTCTTGCAGGAAGCACTTTCAAGTGTTTTTCCAGGATTTACTTGCATTTTACTAAGGATGAGCTTCAAGAACATTTTCACCAAAAGCACTTTCAGCCATTTTAAAAGCACTTCTAAATGAGCCCATAATTGTTGGAGCTTCTAGATGTTTTAACACTGTTTTGCTAGGCTTTCTTTCTTTTCCTAGGGCATATGGTCTTGTTTTTATCAGTCAATATAATTAGACTTTTAGAATTCCTATAAGTCTTTAATGCGAGTCATTAATTACTAGAGCCCTTGCTTGAGTGATTCTTGAGAACTCTTGACTTGATTCCAAGAGCCCTTGCTAGAGTGATTCCAGTTTTCCATTTCCTAACTTTCCTGTTACCCAAATTATCATACCTGCAACATAAGTTATGCCCACATTCCCACAATTCAACCTCACTAAACACTAACTTTAGCCTGTTGTTGTGGACCTAAACAACCACATAAGACCCAATCCAAAACGTGCAGCATTCTTTGAGGAATCAAGCATCTTACAGTGGTTGTTACCTTGCCGGTGAATCTTTTTTGTATTTCTGGAATTGCGTGTTAACATTTGTGAGTTATTTAATTTTCTTCCTAATTGTTATTTTAATTGCTACCTCAGCTTCATCATTTGCATCCTATATGAGCATTCAATTTATTTTCACAAGTCTATTAATTTGTTTTATCTAGTGCCTTGTACATATGAAATAAGTGTTAGGTAGTCCTATATCATAATTTAATGTTAGAATAATTCCTAACTCCTGCTATAGAGTCTAGTGTTTGTCTAACAGAAATGATTGCAGTTGTTCATGGAAAGGCGTCATGCGATGTTAACAGATCTATCTAAAATTCACAATGGAAGGATCTTACAGCACTCTGCAATTTCAATTTCAAGAAAAGAGTTGGAATGAATTGAGTAGATATCTTCACTTGTGAAATAATAAAACAAAATTGATATTTAAAAATGATGATATAGTACTTACACAATTTGCTTATTCAGCCACCCTCCCCTATTCTCATGAAGGTACAAGGGTAGATCCCAATGGTACAGTGTTACATAAGGTTGGATGCCTGCAAGAACAAATTGTTGAATACACAAGCAAATACACTTCAAGAAAAGTTTTGCCAATTAGAAAAGTTTTGCCTCAACCATCCTTAAGGTTTCCTAAGGAGCCAATCAACCAGAAGAAAATGAAAATAAACAAATTCATACCCTTTTCAAGGAGAGCATTAATGAAATTATTATAGTAAGTAATCCCTTCTTCATTGATTTTGGTTCCCAAACCATCTGCACAAACAGAACCAGAAGAAATATACAATCGTCATCACAACTAAGCTACGTCAAGAGAATGAAACATGGATGTACGCTTCAAGAACTTTTTCAAGTCCTTATCTGAATTCTGCTTGGGGATATAGACTTAAAACATCTCATATTGTAATCTCCACATGTTTTCAAAACTTTAGACAGTTAAGGAGACTTCTGCCACAACTATCTTAAGTTTTCCCAAGGAGCCAATTATAAATATTTTCGTCTAAATATCACAACAACATTGTCCATTCATATTTACCCAACTTGTGAAAGATCCATTCAATTGAAGTTATTATTGACCATTAATCTTGAAGATTTGATCAATAACATTTCAACTTAGCTCAAGCATATATGCCATTCAAATCACCTTCACTACCATATTTAAATGCAGAGATCACTTCCCAGAGGTAGGATGTCAAGAAGAGTCAAATGAGAAGGTAAATGCTAAAAAGGAAATGAAGGTGAGAAAGTAATTTTTAAACATAAAACCAAAGGACAGTGAATTGATAATATCCAGCGTTTTAGCACTAGAAAGAACTCTATAGACGGCAAAAGGTAGCATACCAGGGAATATTCGAGACCATGATATGGAAAAACGATGAGCGTCAAATCCCAACTTGGCAATGAGTTCAACATCTTCCTGTTAGCATTAAATAGATTGTGAGTTGTGTTAAATGACTAAGATGAATTGAAATTTCAGACTTGCATAACTATCTGAACAGAATGAAGAACGGCAAGTGTAAGAATTTTATCATGTTCTTTTAAACGATTATAAAAAGAAAACAATACTAACAGATGAGGCCAGAACTGACCACATTCTTCCCCTTCCTAAACCATCAACATAAATAGGGGGAAATGACATTGAAAACTAGTAGAGACATTGCAAATACTAACAGTTTTGGGAAGATAGCATTGACATAATGCCAAAGACCAAAAGGATTGATTCAGTTAAGACCAACTTTCTACTAACCTTATACCGATGATATTGATCCACTGCAACGTCCCCATTGCTTCCATCAATGATATTCCCTAACAAACCAATACACACGTAATAAGTTCCGTAAGTTGCTAACTAAAAATAGTATCAGATTGGACAAAATCAAGAAAAATTCAGGTCCTAGAAGATATTATCACAAGCTCAATGAAGAAAAGGTACCTTTTGAGTGTGAAAAAGCATCCCAAATGCTGGGACCCCTACCACCGTCCTTGCAGGCTCCCTCTACCTACAAATAAACAAGAAGCTCCTAAACCAAAATTCATAGACTCTGAGTTTTGGAATTCAAGACAGTGCATTAGACAACTCAAAAGTAGAAAATGGGATTTGTTATTTTGCAAAAATATGATTGAAGACAGGATACTCACAATTACAAACACTACATCATCTAGTGTTCACTTGTTTTTTAACCATGAAACAATCATGTACATATTTTGAAACAAAAACTGAAAATTTCATTTACAAAGTAGAAACGTAAATTAAAACTATTCAATGAAAGATTGCTGGAAACCACACCCAATCAAATGCATCGGAAGCAAAATAACTCCACTGTATAACAAACTGATCAAAATAATAAAATAAAGAAAAACGGAATTCAGAATCAAATTAAATTAATTCCAGCAACTAGATTTTGGTCTGGTGTTTCTGCTGCATTATTGGAAGAGGTCCCCAATTTGATGAAATAAATCAATTTAAAAAGAAAGATGAAAAAGAGCCGCTAACTTGATATGCAGAAGTGGCAACGCCAAAAACGAAGTTGGGAGGGAAGTCACTGCGACAGACTTCATGAGTTTCTTCATCATATTCCTTCAACAAGCCCTTCTTTGCCATTCCTACTCCAACTTAGAGCAGCCAAGAAAGAAAGGAAAATACTTGATTTATGGTTTAAAACATATCGGAACCAAAGGACTGCGTTGGATCTGGACTCTGGTTACTGCAAAAATTTATTTTTATACAAGGATCAACAGATCCAGAAACCAAATAATAGGTGAGTCACGAGAACCACCAATCATTGTGATGGGCCCTTACCATAAGTCATTGTCTCCAACCTGCTCCCTTTGTAGTTGCATTAGTTATATATATATATATGGTGACTCAACACCAAACCTTTTGTCTGTTGAGGCTGGTGGATATATATATATATATATATATATATATATATATATATATCCCTTTTGTGGTCCTTGGAGTTTTTATGAAATGGATTAATGGCACGTTTACGTAAGGGTAATCGGAATAAGGAAATGAATTGAATTTCGATTACGGAGTATTCCGGTTTACTAAATATTAAGAAATAAAAAAAGTGGTAGAGTCCACACGAAACAAGGAATCCAATTCCTGAAATTGGAGGAATGAGATTCCCTAGTTTTGTGAGGCATTTGAATTCCCTGAGGGTAAGGGAATCGGGAATGTTATTTCTATTATGCCCTCCTTTGTTTCTTATTATCCCAACATTGCCCTTCATTTGACACTCATTATGTCATTTTTAATAAATAAATAAAACCTATTTATATATTTTTATATAGATAATTTTATTATATAAATTTAATTAAGAATTTAATTTAATTAATTAGTATGAAAATAATTTATTAATGTAAGGGAAATTTAGTCATCAACTTAGTTTTCATTCAGATTGAAGTGAATTAGTAAACAACTTGTATAGACTCAACATCATTCTTGCCATCATTTAATAAATAAATAAAACCTATTTATATATGCTTTTATAGATGAATTTTATTATATAAATTTAATTAAGAATTTAATTTAATTAATTAGTATGAAAATAATATATTTATGTAAGGGCAATATAGTAATCAACCTAGTTTTCATTCCGATTGAAGTGAATTAGTAAACAACTTATTTGGGCTCAACACGATTCCTACTCCGATTCCAAAGAGTTTTAGTAAACAACTTCAACAGGAATTTGATTCTAATTCCACCTCATTTCAATTTCTCCTCAATCCAATTCCCCATTAATCCAATTCCTTTCAATTTGATTACAGATTAGTAAACGCGTCATAAACCTTTTTAGCTTTCTCTGCATTTTCCTTTACTCTGATCCTTTCCCCTCTGTGCGGCTGAGAACCTAGCAATTAGTATCCAGAAACCTAACAATCAGAACCAAAGGACTGTGTTGGATCTGAACTCTAGTTACTGCAAAAAATGGGGAAAACGTCACCACCAGTCATTGTGGCCTTTCCAAAAAGTCGACGCCTGTCCACCCATTCACACAATTTTTAAACAAAGATCTACAGATGAAACCAAATTGCAGGTGAGTCACCAGAAAGAGAAAATAAAATGGGGAAAACGTCACCACCAGTCATTGTGGCCTTTCGAAAAAGGTGACACCTATCCACCCACTCACACAATTTTTAAACAAAGATTTACAGATCCATGAGAAAATTTTCTAGGTACCCGGTACACCAAACAATTGGTGTTCCCTACATATGAACACCTGACAGTTGGCATAGGTTCCATCTTTTTGACACGTTGCCATTTGAGTTATCATCTACCCATTTAATTCGTAAATTTTCTGAAAAACAAATTCAAATAAAAACAAAAAAATGTTAATTAAAAAAATTGAACCTAAATTTTCTCTTGGAGTCTCCGACTTCCGGCCCTACCCCAACCCATCTCTGTCTTCCCCTCAATCCTTTCTTTTTCTATCTCATTCTCTCTCCCTATTTTTTGTTCTTAGCCTCCCTTACGTTGGAGAAGGACACTATAAATTGTCGTCGACCACCCAGGGGCATTGATCGAAGTCAACGATAGTAGCTTTGAAAGTTGGAGTTGTCATCGATCATCCTCGAGCTCTATCACGAGGTAAGAATGGAAGAAGAGAAAGTGAAGAGTATGAGGGATAGAATTAATGGGGTGTCACCGGTGAAATTATCACCGTCGATGGAGGTGGGTCGTTGTCGAAAGTTCATGGTGGCGCTTAGTGGGTGTTTGCTGTGAGTTATTGATGAGCGTGGAGGATATTTCCAAGTTTCTGTTTCACTTTCGGGCATTGTAATCGACAAATTGGGTTTAGTTTTTGTTTAATTGATTTTCTTAAAAACTAAATCAGATAGATTCTTTAATGGGGAAACGTGGCATCTTCCGATTGGATGGGTACACTAACTGTCCATGGTGATGTGGGGTTCCCGTCACCCGAACAAATTTCTCCAGATGCAGAAACCAAATAGTAGGTGAGTCACTAAAAAGAGAATATAAAATGGGGAAAATGTCACCACCAGTCATTGTGATCTTTCTAAAAATGTGACACATATCCACCCACTCACACAATTTTTAAACAAAGATCTACAGATCCATAAACCAAAATGTAGGTGCATCACCAAAAAGAGAATATAAAATGGGGAAAATGTCACCACCAGTCATTGTGGCCTTTCTAAAAAGGCGACACATGTCCACCCACTCACACAATTTAACGAAGTTATATCCTTTGTTATTGCATTTCCAGTGGGAGGCTCTATATGGAGCCAAAAAAGTAGGAAATATAGTCCAGAGTAATGTTATCATACCATGTTTTTGTACAATATTTTTATACCATCTTAGGTGGCATTTGATATGGACAACCTCATCATTTGAATTAATCAGATTTTTAAATTTAGTTCATTATTTGATAAACTAATAATTAAGAAAAATTAATTAATTAAATGATGATTGTAGTATACAAGGAGTCTTTCTCCTTCATTTCCTTAGGTTTTGCAAAATTTTCAAATAATGTGGCCATCCACATCAGATGCCACCTAAGATGGTATAGAAATGTGGTATAAAAACATGGTATGAATAGCATTACTATATAGTCTATTTTAGAGCTTCGACAAATCTTTAGGGCTTTATAAAAGGATTGTAATACAACGTATTTAAAAAAAATGAAAATATATATGTGTATATAGGTAATTATTTTTATTTCAAATGTAAGGATTTTATTGAGTTCCCTTTATACGTTACGTGTAAACGAACTTATACTTTGGATATGTGAAATAGTCTCAACGTAAGTTCATTTTAATACAAAATTAATTAAAAAACTAGCTAGTATTATCATGTTCATATGTAAGTAGAGATGTTTTCTTTGCCACTTAGTACTACGGTCTAATGGTATTCCTCTTCACTTGTAAGTGAGAGATCTTAGGTTTGATTCTCGCCAATGGCGAATTTAAACCACATTATTGCTAGCCCATTGTGAGGCTAAGCCTACCCCCTCCCTCTTAGTTTAGATAAAAATTAGAGATGTTTTTAGTTTGAATTGGAGAAGGGTGATTGTATTACCAATTAAGGGTGAGTTAACAAGTGTTAATGATTGCTGATTGGAGAAAGGTGATTATATGGGATTGGCTTGATATTTTACCAAATAAGGGTGAGTTAATAAGTGTTAATGATTGGTGATTGGAGAAAGGTGATTATATGAGATTGGCTTGATATTTTACCAAATAAGGGTGAGTTAACCAATGTTAATGATTGGTGATGATTAAACACCCCTCCCCCCCAAAAAAAAAATAGAGAGGTGGGATTCTATATCCCTTAGAGTTTGGACGTGGCCTTTGAGTATTTGTCCACATGCGTGGTAATGATTATAATCATGATTAATTACTAATGTTTTCAATGCTTGATGTCCAAGTGTTGCAAAAAGAATTGAAACGTGTCACTGAAGGCTTAATTGAGGATTCCATGTCTTTCTCCATAAAGGCAGAGGGCAGAAAGAATGCGGGAGGAACAACACCACACTAGAAAACAACACAGTAACAACAAGCAATATCTCTCATTCTCAGACCACTCCCCACCATCCTTTTCTTTTACCTTGGTCATCTTCATTGTATTTTGTAAATCAATCGTGCATGGTGAAATCCAAATGCATATGCAACTCTAGTGGACGTAGCTGAATTGGTGAACCACTTAAACTTGGTGTGTCGTTGTGTTTTACTATATTTATATTACTTTCTGCCTCTATCCTCTCCCAACAAGAACTATGAAAATACAACACCAATCAACAAAAAAAAATAGCTACTTATGTGCAACTAGATTAGACATGAATCACAAAGCAAAGAGGGAAGAAAGTATTTGAAAGCAAAATAACCACCACCAACATATCTAATTCCTTACATATCAAGTTTCTAAAAACCAAAACCACAAACTCACATATCGTCATAAAATGCCATACTACATATTCAACACCATCAAAAGTTGCATTGTTAGCAAGAAGCTCGAAGTGTCGGGGACGCCAACCTGCAACGACAACGTTGCCTTTGGCCAGTCAACCTCACCCCAATGGGAGCCATGGCAGACATCGACGATGTTGGGGTCAAGACTTGTACAACTGAGCAAGTTATATTCCAACAAAATTGCTTTATGAAACCCAAACAGGGTTATGCATCAATATCGCCTAGAGAAAGATGGAGTAAAATGGTAAAGTAATATTTCTCAATTATATTGTTGTGTGTTATTAATATGTTATTATTGATAATATAATATCATTTTTGCTACTAACTATTTTCATTAGTTTTGCATATTGTATGATTATTATAGAGCATGCGATTTGTAACAACCCCTCTCTAATTTTACGATTTTATTAATTTTAATGAGTGAATTGACGAAAATGCCCCTTGAGACGAGATCGTTGACTTTCCTTGACCTTCATTTTGTGATGTGTACGAGCTACTATTTTACCGTACTCTCGAACTACTCGACGGTACAAACGTGTAGGCGTAAGCGAAATTGAAATTGGAACTACGACGGAGGTTTTATGGAACTACAAATCCGGAAAATACTTTTGTATAGAATTACTATTTTATATTTATATATTTTTCATAATTATTATATTGTTATTTTAATAATATTTTATTGTTATATTATTATTATAATAATATTTGGAGAATATTTCTAATATTTTAATAATTTATTTTGGCCGCAGGGCCTGCATCTCATTACTTTCCACTTCTCTCTTGCCACGTGTCTTCCTCCTAGCTCTCTGGAAACCTATCATGTTCTCATCTCTCCCTGTTCTTTCTCTCCCTCACTCTTTCT